TTGTCCGCTGCGCCTTGCGCTGTAGTACATGGTGGACATCGATGGAATCGAGGGTCAAACTGTCAGGTGCTGGTGGGGAAAGTTGTGATGGTGTGGCATGTCCGGCGGTAGTGTACGGCAGGTCTTCATGACTGTGCGTTTAACCTAGTTGGCCCATGCGGTGGCTGAATGTGTGACGACAATGTGGGCAGTTGAGGCAAATGTGTCTGATGTATGTTGATGCTTCACATACTGGTTCGACCAGGCCGATGTGTAAGGTGGATGTGCGGGGACAATGTGGGCAGCATAGGTCGGGGTTCCAGGGACGGTCTCAGTGGTGAGGGTGGTAGGTGCGCTGGATGGTGAGGTGTTGATTGGGCTAGGGACGGTGGGTGTGCAGGGTGTACTAAATGGATCGGCACTGCGGTGGATTCCGCTGTCGTTAAAATACGCATGTGAACGAGTAGGTCCATGCGATGCGTGAATGTGCGTGGCAGTGCAGACAATGAAGACGGCTGGGATGAGCGTATGTGGGTGTTCCAGACACTGGTTTGCTAGCGTTTGCGCGGTGGACTTTCACGAGACCAACCAGGCCGATGCGCAATGTGAATGTGCGATCTCAATGAGGACCGGTTGGTACCGAGTCAACATCGCTGGAGGTGGGGGTGTTGATGATGATGATGGTGGTGGTGGTGGTGGTGGTAGATGTCGGGACGTCGGATGTCGTCCCATCGGCGACGGAAGTGCGAGGTATCGTTGTGTTGGCGGAGCTGGTTGCCGTGGTTGGGGTAGGGGTTGGGGTAGGGCAGGTTATGTCGGCGATCGATGGTGGCGCTCCATCGGCAGTCTGATCACCAATGACGAGGGTGATCGTCGTCGCCACGGGGTTTGCGACAACGGTGATAGTAGGGGTTGTTCGTCGGAAGAGAAGTTGACGTTGTCAGGTTGTTGGCAGTGGGTAGGTTTGGAAAGCCTGGCTGCTGGCATTGAGAAGCCAAGGCGCTTGTGACTTGCAAGCCTCCCTTTTGGCTTTGACAACGGTTATCCGGTTAGCTTCGCAGGTGGCTGTGCCAGTCTTCACTTATCTTCTTCAGGCCGGTCTTTTCTGGGTGAGGTCCTCCCAGATCTCGCGTTAAACTGCAGTCGTTTCAGAGAGTACTTCAGTGCCCTTACAGCGTCGTTTTGTCCTTGTCGACAAGTACCAGTACTGACATATCAGTAGGAGAGTTGTTTCGGTAGACGTGTAGTTTCTGTCCTCACGAGATGGCCGTTCCAGCATAGCTGCAGTTGCCTCAGTCTGGCGTGAATTCTAAAGATTTCTTTCCGTTCTGCGACGTCCGTGTCAGGGATCCTGTCTAGCCATCTCAGCTTTAGAATTCTGCGGAGGTAACTGAGGCGGAAGAATTTGAGCTTCCTGGTATTGCTGAGGTAGAAAGTTCAGCTTTCCGATCCATAGAGAAGTATCTTCAGGTTGACGGCCTTGTACATCTCATAAGGATTATAGTTATAATAATAATAGTAATATAGGCAGAATGATATTACCGACAAAGACAAGGGAGACTGGAATGGCCATTTCTGGCTTATTAGCCGTCGTCAGCCAGCCATACCCAAGCCCGAAGTGTGGAACACCCGAGCCTCGTACTCGCGACCTGTTGGTTTAGAAGTCAACGCCTTTACTCACCGGGCCACGGGCCCGTTGCCCTGGCCGCCCACACCTACAAAATCGGTCACGAGTTTAACTTCATAGCCACCAAAGTAGTCGAGAATCGCTTGAAGCCTGGGCCTCAGGTGAGAACACGGTCGATCGATTTATCGATCTGGCGCCGGCGTACAGAGCCATGCGTAGTCACCTGCAGTCTTGCGCCGTCGGTCGATGATTGGTCTACATGCCTTATAACTGTCGCTTGTTCTGTTACTGCCACTACCTCTGACGATGGATTCCTGTACGAGTCTGAAAGGTCAGGACAATAAACAAATTATTCCGATGCTCGGCTCTTCTTCTTCTTCACTTATGCATGCACCTGGAACTCGAAATTTCGCCTTCATTCGTGAATAATAATTGTATTTAATGCCAGTGAACAGGCACTGTCAGGGAAAGACTGAGCAAAAATCTGGTTAGCAGGAATAAAATACTTCGGACAGTTAAATAGAGAGGATGGCGTTTTGTATAGTTTGGAGGGTTCAGGAGAGAAACACTGCTGCCCATGAAATGACCACAATGGAGATAGGGATGGATGGCACTGCTTTGGATGTTTTCAGTCGTCATTCCTTTTTACGAAGTTGGGACTGGACCAAACGGAAGCTCTGAAGAAGAGTTGTCGCTGATTGTTAAAGAAATTTTCCTTGGTGGGACAGGCCATAGGGATCAGGGACCACGAACGCCATCGCTACGGTACATTCGACCGGAGGATTCAGTACCCAAAATGTGTGGGAGTCGTTCTGGATGCAAAAAGCGATTAATAGTTCTCTTAAACAAAGGATAATTCTGCAGAGTTTTCACATTCCTGGGTAATTTATTGTAAATAGCAATTGTGTTCACAGAAAAGAACCAACGATGTTTAACGGTACGTGCCAGAAGTAGAATTAAAAAGACCTCGCGGTGACTGTTACGTCGGGGGTGGACAAGATGTTCTAAAGTAGTGAGTAGGATAAAGGTTCGATTATATTGAAGCGTAGGTAGTAAAATAGTCCCTTTTGTTATCTACGAAAAGCTAAAAGCCTAGACGTGACGGACAGCAGTTTATCTCACGCATGTCCGGTCGGATTTTGCATTAAATCCCATGAACTGGACAGACGCCTGTATACCGGAGTCATTCATCCCTAATTGAGATTTTTGTTTACTTATTGTCAAAGTCTCATTTCAAAGATGGGCGAACTTAAAACGCTTATTTCAGAACGAAACCCCGACGTCATAGTCATAACGGAAACATGGCTCAAAGCCGAAATCAAAGATACCGAGATTTAGATACGGGGTTACCAGCTCTTTCGCAGAGACCGTCAAAATACTCAGGGCGGTTGAGTAGTCGTATACACAAGGAGAGGAATTTCGGCAGTTGAAAGAGCCCACATCCCCTCCCTTAAATATGCATCGGTCTGGAGGAAGATGAGGAAGAGTTACGTACAAAACCTAGAATTCCTGACGGTTTACAGACCATCCAACCCACCGAGCGAGGCTAGCGATTCGCTAATCCATTTGGTCAAGTAATTAGCAAGACACCAATCGGTTCTTAACGCTGGGGATTTCAATACACCTGAAATATAGTGGGAAATTATGGCAGAGGACGGCCATAAGTAAGTGGACCTCACGCTCGGCCTCCATCTGGCACAGCACGCACATACCCTAACGAAATGTATTCCAGTGAAACATCGGAAATAATAATCATACTACACTACTGTGGGATAACTCGCTCTTTTCTGAATGCCAGAAGAGAGCAGATGGCCAACCTAATATATGAAAGGCAGATTTTAACATGATGAAAAACAAATCGATACCCGTGGATCGGAACTCTTTACTCAAGGGAGATCCGTAGGACGACTGGAAATCGCTTAAGACTGTTTCACTTGATCTGATCCGCCGCTGTTGTCCAGTGAATTTACAAAAGTGACTAGTTGACCTGCCTGGTTACCAGGGGATCTGAATAAATAGTTAAAGGCAAAAAGAAAAAGATAAAAAGTCGTCAGAGAAACTGAGTTGCCAGGACATCTCAGGGAGTTTTGTCGTCAACGAAGTACGGTCAAAAATGCATGCGTCAGGCGAGGAGGGACTGTGAATCCAGAATTATCTGACAGGCTGAACAAAAGCCTAAATTCCATTCCACTATGTTAACAGTCGACTGAAAAACAAGGACCCAGTGCCAGTACTGAAAGCTGATAATGGTAGGGAAATCGTTGAAAACTGCAAGGAATTCAAATACCTGGAATGGTGCTTTGCGTTAGTATTCGCAGGGAAAGGGAGTTTCAGAAACACAATGTCAACATTGCTATTGTGACTGCTGGTTTTGTGCTTGAATGCACAATCATCTCGACATCTGTCATAGAGAGGGAGTTATAGAATCTCCACAATGTAAAGCCTTCGGATCCGAGCAATATATGGACCAATTTCTTGAGGGAATTGGCAAACAAACCCACCATACCACTAGCGCACATCTTCCATTTTTCGCTCGAATTAAGGCAGTTGTTATCCGAATGGGGACAGCAAATATCCACCCGATATACAAAGAGCGGTGCCAACACTTGTGCTAACAAGTACCGTCCCGTTAGCTTCATCTGCATCTGCTGTACAATAATGAGAAGATAGAATTATTTTGCTAGTCCAAGCGACGCGTATAAGTCGAAAATCTGGTTTCGGTGTATTTACTGTACTATTAATATTATTAAGTCAATGACGAAAAACGTACCAAACTCAACAATGGATACACTGACCCAAGAATTCTCTTGCCACTGTTCGAACAAATCCAATTTCCAGCTAAAGATCGGAACAAAAAAATCAGTTAATTAAATGAACACGAACCCTGCTCGAAGGGGGGTTACAATTACAAAATAGCCGATGCTAAACTCTTGTCCTCCCGCAGCAAAAAACCACCCATCTTAGTCAAATTATTTTCATTAATCGAGGTTGACACAATCTTTGCCTATCGAGATCGTGTCACTGCGTACCTGGAAAATGCAAAATTTTTCCTTCGTCATGATCGTACTCCTATGGAGCGTAGAATTGGGTCTATCTTCTCACGTAAACCCACTGCTTCTCAGTCTAATGCGCACCAACTAGGTCTTTATACAAGTGGCCTTGAGGATTAAGATTGTCCTACTCCTGCGACATCTGACTCCCTCCTTCCCCTTACTCCTACATCTCCATCTCACGCAGGCCACTTGAAGCATTTGCCTGCCCCTAAACTTTCTGCAGCAGCAGCAGCAGCAGCAGCAGCAGCAGCAGCAGCAGCAGCAGCAGCAGCAGCAGCAGCAGCAGCAGCAGCAGCAGCAGCAGCAGCAGCAGCAGCAGCAGCAGCAGCAGCAGCAGCAGCAGCAGCAGCATCAGCCCCATTTGTCGTTTCGTATCGTCCGGATAGTCCCGCTGGGACACATGAAAATCCGTTGCTATTCCTGGTTTACATTAACGACTGCGTCGACGACCTGGGATGCAGCGCCATCATGTTTGCTGACGATGTTAAGCTGTGGAGACCCATCAGATCTAATGCAGACAGGTACGCGCTTCAAGACAGTCTCAACCGCCTAAACAGTTGGTCAGCTCGCTGGCTCCTCGATTTTAATGTGGACAAATGTGTGGTCTTGAGACTCCGCACCAGACGGACCAGTAAGGAGGACGATTCCTTTCAATACGTCCTTGGTGGTCAGCCCCTTTAATATGTTGTGGAACAGAAAGACCTGGGCGTCCTAACGACCTCCTCGCTGAAACCATCTTCACAGTGTCAAAGGGCAGCCAAAAGTGCGATAAGGGTGTTATTTGCGCTGCGGCAAGGATTTGTGCAGATCGACAAGGAGCTGTTCGGAAAAACCTATGGGGCATTCGTCCGGTCTCACTTAGAGTATGCAGTCCAGGCCTGGCGACCGTGGTTAAAGAAAGATTATCAACGTCTGGAAAGAGTACAGGCAATAGCTACGAAGATGGTCAAGAATCTTCATCATTTGCCTTACGAAACCAGGCTGACCGAACTAAATCTGTTTCCTCTAAATTACAGGCAACTGCGCGGCGATCTCATTCAAACCTACAGGATTGTCAGAAGCCGTGAGTGTGCCCTAGACTTTGATGAATTCTCTGAATTGGCCCGGACTGACCGACTGCGTGGTCATCCGTTCAAACTGCAAAGGAAGCGGGCTCATTCGGACGTCCGACGGAACGCCTTCTCTCACAGGGTCATCGAGACATGGAGTGGACTCCCTGATGCCGTCGTTCTTTCTGAGAGTGTTAAATCCTTTAAGTGCAGACTAGACGCTCACTTGTTGAGAACCTACTGTACATACAATAATGATTGTTTTAGCGGCGGCAGTTTGCGCCTAGCTCACACTTACCGCTAACTTCTAAACTTTTCGCATTTGCTGATGTAATTGATGACTTTATATCTGTTTATCGATATGAATAGGGAGCTCAAGGGCGAAAGTCTCATTCCCTTAATAAACTGACTTAAACTGACTATCAGCAGACCGATAACTTCCTCTGTTCAACTGGGTGCTGCATGCTCTACAGTTAAGTCACTCGTGGCTTGGCGTCAGAACGGTGACACTCGAATACTGAATCAGACTCCGACCCAAAAGAAAGGCAGTGCAGTTCCATTTAGGGGTACGTCGCCTTCTCTTAGATCTGCCGAGTCTGTTCAGCCCAGCACGTCTACAAACCCCGCAGCTCCAATTATATCCCCGAATAATTCTCTGTCCTGCTTACCGGTTACTTATCAAAGCCCTACTATATATCCAGCAAATCATTCATACATGAATTACCCTAAGTCATTTATGCCCCAACCTAGTTCAGGCTTCCCACCACTTAAGGCCAATTGCTCTCAGGTACGTCAGCCTACCTCGTTTGGCGTCCAACCTAGACCTGATTTCCCACCCTTTTATTCTAATAGCTGCCTACCCTCCCCCACTAGCCTCTACTTTCCTTCTAGGCTCCCTCCTGCTCCCCCTCCTCTACAATTTAACTACCAACAAGTCTATCCATGTTCTAACTCCCCTAGCATTTCAATGATCGACACCTATATCCCCACATCCTTTAGGTCTCATACTCAGCCTTCTCTTGCTGACTCCCCGCACGTCAATAACTATAGACTACCAGGTACTTATTCTTCAAGTGTCATGAATTCACCGCTTACATATCCGCCTCCAAAATTTTTTAAATACCGTCGACAATAGCATTGCCGTTCGAAGCACATTAGACATTATATTATTGAATGCCGGGTCTGTTATAAACAGGATGACCTAAATCACAGCCACTGCTCTCGAAATGACGCCTGATATTATGCGTAACAGAATCTGAGACCCATTCCTAATTCCTGACTCTGCCTTTCTCATAGATGACTTCGATTTTGCCGTCAAGACCGCACGACTAGGCGTGGGGGCGGTTGTCTTCTTTATCTTAAATCCTACCTAAAGCACTCTCCCTATTACTTGGATGTTGCCTCATTCACGGGAAACTTCTGCTTTGCATCTGTTATTCTCTCGCCGCAAAGAAAGGCAATTATTGGCTGTATCTACAATCCCCTAAATTGTTTATCCAGTGATGATTCACAACTCTGTGAAATGTGTAAATTAATTTCGGAAGCTGCTTTCGACGTTAAAATAATCACTGGGGATTTTAACCTTCCTGAAATAGACTGGGTTTCCAATAGCTGTCCACCTAGATTCCAGCCCTTTCAAGATATTGTCAATTTTTCTAACTGGTCCCAACTGGTGTGCTCTCCAACAAGAGATAATCACATTTTAGACAGTGACCACGTATTAATTCATTGTTGCCTACCGCTTGCCTTTTCAAAAAAGACCAGCACCGTTCGGACTTACATAAACCTAGATTGCGTAGATAACGACTTAATAAATAACTATATTAGATCTCTGGATTGGTGTGGCTTCCTCTCCTGTAGCGATGCAACCATTCTTCGTGACGTCATGTTCAATGTTTCCAAGGACATCCTAGAGTTTGTGCCGTGTAGATATCTCAAGCCTTATTCTTCAGATTTCCTTGTTCCTTACTTTCATCACAATTCGTCTGCTTTTCTTGACAGAAAATTACCCTAAAATTAGAGCTCTCGGTTATATGACTTTGTGTTTTGCAATTTGAGTGTCCATCTTCACCGCTTAAACTGCGACAGATGAAGTTCGCAGACCCGGACTCTCCAGTTTTGATAGTAAAAAATGTGTTTATGTTAGTCCGGATGTCGAACGTTTAAATTGCCTTAATAGGAGACTACTTTTTTGAAAGGGATCCCTCGTCGAGGTTTGTCGTTCTTCTTTCATTGGTGGTTTCATATATTTGCACTGTTATAAACATAGTTTGAAGATTTGTTTGAGAGAACCAGTGACCAATTCGTATATAAAAACGTTTCATGACGACCACGTCAGGGTGCATTTTCGCAGATAGATATGTCCATATGAACAACAGTCTGTCAGATCACAGGGTGGTGTATGGCAGTTTTGGAAAAATGCATCGTTACGCGATGAAAACTGTTTGTTTGTTAGTTCTTCTCTCATGCGGGGACTTTAAGAAACGCACGGCTCCACAACGCACCACGGAACGCCTTGGAGGACTACTTTGCCACTCCGTAACGAGGCAAAGTAAGAAGCAACACCGGTTGTATTGACCCATGCTGGAAATCTCAACCAGTTAATGTGCACTTCCCTTGTGTATAGTTGCAATTTCTTATAGACATTCAATGTCTTTCAGGAGTGACAGGGGATGTTCTCATATGGCTGTATTTACTATAGTAAATAGTACTTACTTGATTATAGCTAAGTTACTTGAAGCAGTTACAACCTCGGTATACCCACCTTCGCCAAACATGTCTATTTCATGTAGAATCAAAGAACTACGGCGCTCGATACAGAAAATGTTTATTTAATTAAGTATGAATTAACATAATACACGTTGGCCGTCAGAACAGCCGTCAAACCCGACTTCTCACCTGGGATTGCTTGCATAGGCCGACCATCCATCTACTGTGTGTATTTTACTATCTGCATGATGTTACAAAACGAAACGGTATTTCGTCGTGTTCTGGTTATGTAGTACCTATTTCATATGCGTTATAGTGTTTGTGTTATTATCTTAACTTGTCACAAGACTAATCTGGTCAGAGCCCTGCATGCTTTCACCGTGCTCCCTGGTATTTACCTGGAGATGTCAGAGCGGTTCGTCATTTCCTTCGACTGACCAACAGACCCCATTGTTGTACCGTCCAACTGCATTTTGACGCGTTGTCAACCATACAGACGTTGTAATTGATCATGCTACCCATATTTTGAGTCGGGACTGCGTTGAAGGTGTTATGCTAGTGAGCCTCTTTGTGGTTAGACAATACTCTCCGTCTCCAGTAAGAGCGCATTTCTGACATACATGCGAATTTGAACAATTTGACACTGGCCGCGCGCTCATAAAACCGTGGGGTCGAAGATACGCTCGAAGTCAGTCTTCCTCCCATGTCTGCAGTTTGCTACGTCGGCACCACTGCCAGCCGGGCTGTGTTTGGACAAGACGTCGGTGCACTTGATTTTACCTCCAGATCGACACGACACATATTCAGACGATCTTAGTTGACGAGTCAGAAACGCTCTGTTAAGGGCCCGTGTTCACGACCGATTATACAGTCATTTGTTAGGGGGTAGTTTAAGGGTTAAATTTGGAGGATCGAATGTAAATAGTATTGGACGCATGCATATTTTATGCACACAGGCCCTTGTGACTCGCGTACGAATGTTGAAACACTTTACGAATATCGATGTGTTCTCTATGGGTGCATACGCTTCAGCTGCCGACCACCTGATCGCTGCTGCAAGTTAGTTGAAAGACTCCTTCCCGTGCTGGCCGCTTTGAACTTGTCTCCATTTAATAAGAGTGAGAGGATGCTGAACTCTGCTGACCAGAACTGGGTGGTTGTTGTCAACACGTGTTTTCAATCTCGTTGCAGGCATCTGACCTGGCACCCAAAGGGTGGTTGCACTACCCACCAGATTGAATGCGCTAGTGGCTGCGTTCATGGAATCAGATCGATGCATGATGTCAAGACTGACGAGGACTACGAGTCAGACCTAAAATGTGATTCTTAATCCTCTCCAAAATCGTCCCATGAGAGCTTCGTTGATGCTGCAAAACTGCGGCAACCCAGCGCAGCCGAGGCCCTAAACCCGAAAAACCCGTTTCGTTTTAAGACCCGGAGCGAAGCTGGGGGTAGAAGCAAATGGTCATCATTGATGTCGTCAATCTATGTCGCAGCTGGGAAAGTTCATGGATTCACCCAGCGGCTCCGAAGTGACTGGATCGTCTTTTCAGACGGCTTGAGGCACGTACTGGAAAAATGACGGCAAAGTCGACTACAAATGACCGCCAAAATTGTTGGGCTAAATTTACCACCTCAGTGAACTAGATCTTTAATGTTTCTAGCACTCGAAGACGCTACGAAATTATTTACCGAGTCAGTAATAAGCCCGCTGCACGCAGTGGTTGTTCGCGCTTTAAATGAAGGCTACGCTGCCGTGACCGATCCATCACTCTCCTCCTCAGCCGATGCAGTGTCTTGTGGTATCCCTTCTCAGGAAGGGTTTACCGATAGCAGGAATTCTGCACAACAATAAGATGTCCGGAGTGGACTATATTCCGACCCTATGGTGTCTTCGCTATACCAGGCGATTGAGCAAACGTAGTAAGATGATGTTTTTTTCTGAACAGGAGGCATTCATCAGCACTTACTTCGAGGCCTTGGATCCTTTGGAGGAACGCGAGAGAATTATTGATGCTGTAGTCAGATCCATGAGTTAACTGCTTCAGATGCTTGTACAACCACTTAGCTATATTGTAAATAGGTTATCCGATGAGTGGTACAATAATCCTCAGTGGGGCATCCACCTTATGCACTTTTGGGAGACCATACGCGCGTGCGATATGGGGACCGCTGACGGTCATCAACTTGGAATCATCTGGACTTATGACATTCAGACGAGCGAGCTCATTAACCTTTATCTTGATGGCAGTGGCTTGCTTTTTCTTCGGGTCTTCGGCAGGAAGAGTGTAGGACGCTACGCCACCGAAGATTCCATTCCTCTTGTTGACGTTGTCAATTCTGTCCATAATGACAGTAGCGCCACCCTTGTCAGCGGGAACAACAACAATATTGCGGTCCGATCTCAGTGATTGTAATCCTTGCGCTTCATCGGCCGATAGGGTTTGTTGGTGTTTTTTGCCGAAGGATACCAGTGGCACAGCTGCGTATGTCTGCGCGCCTGTCTTCTGGAAGGGATGAGGCCCGTAGAACTAACTAGAGGCCAGCTAGGAAGTTGGTAGGCGTGGCATCCGTATGATTAAATCCTATTCCCTTGGACAGGAGGCTGATTTCGGTAGGTAAGAGAATCCTCTTCGAAAGGTTGACGACTCTCATGGTCATAATCCTCTCGTTCGTTTTGCAGACTTTGCCGTCTCCCTCTGTTATCATGGCTTGGCCGACTTCAGCCTGGTAGGTAGTTGCCTGTTCGTGACCCCTATCGCCCATACGAAGTTTGTTTGCTTCGGGAAGCCAATGGATCGGTGTGCGTCCATTCCTGAGTGAATAAATACCCGATCTGCAGCGACAGAGAATGGCAGGTGGAGAGGCATTGATGAACTTCGGTTCGATGAAGTGCTTATGACCCATCTGGTAGACCCACTGGTGGACCAGCTGCGCCAGGTGTGTCTGTGCGCATGCTTGTGTTTCCGGCCCCAGCTGGTGGTCAGGGTTATGATTGGCTGAATGAAGGCAAACAATCCAGAAACAGTTCTGTATCAATCTACCCCCAGACTTGTCGTCTCCCCTCTGAAAGCAGACACAGCAATATTCTTTCTCGTACTCACTTGGTAGAAAATCGTTTCGTCAAATTCTGTACACAAAGGAAGGGCATCTTCATTTTTAGAGAGGTTTTGTAGCACTTGAATAATTCTGAGCCCGATCCATGTTGCATTTGCGTTTAAATTTTCCAGTCCGCGATCTACATGCATTCCGTGTAAGTAAAATCATGCCTCCCCTTTGCCATTAGAAGGGCTCATAAATGTTTGCTATTGATGTGGACTGTGCTGTATACGTCACGAGGAACATTCATAAACAAATAGGTACAATGCTATTCGAATGAACATTGCATGGTCTTATAAAATCTCATAGCTAGAAACTTTTCAGAGCCAAAATATGCCATTCTTTTGGGTGAATAATTTGAAGGAGACGTGATTTTCGACCAACTGAGTGCAAAAATAATAATCTTCACGTATTTTTTCTACTTAAGCAGTCAGTTTTATTGAGTGCGGTTTCAGCAGATAGTCGAAAAATGTCAATTCAAACGCCATCACCCTAACGTGTCTGAAATGTCATGGGATTATGCCCTTTGATAATCAATATTACAGTCTCAATTAATCCTTCCTAGTCAAAAATGCATCTCAGGATTTCTGTTAAGATTTCATGAGATCTGTCACTGACCGTATGCTTGAATTTGTAAACCGGTGCGCTCCAAATAAACTCCTGTAATCTTCTACAGTGAGTGACCTATCTCATGAGATGTTCACCAAAATTCTGAAACGCGTCTCCAATCGGGAAGAATTAATTAGGTGGGGTTGTAATACTGATTATCCTCCGGCCTAATCCTATAATATTTCGGACTCGGCAGGATATCTGCTTTCAAATGCACGCCTTTTCAATCGCCCGTAGAAGTCGTGCTAGGCAAAAAATGCCTACTTAAGTAGCATGCATTTTTCACATTGATTTTCGATAGTCCTGTAAATTCAAATATATTTTATGAGAAACGCTAACAAAAATATGCTTTCCGTCACTTGTTTGATAGCGAACCACCTCATCTTCATATTTTATACTCGAAGACGCAGTATAATTAGGTTTAAAAAAGTTTCTAATTATGATATTTCTTAAGACCGTACGATGTCTATCTATACAGCATCGTACCTGTACCTTTACCGCTGCTTCTTATGAAATGTACAACATGGCCCGCATCCATTGCAAAATTATATGGACTCTATATGGTATCTTTCTAATGGCATAGAAGAATATGTAATTTTCTCTACACGGAGCGTATGAAGCTTGTAGACTGCAATCACTAGGCGCTAATACAACGGCTGATCAGGCTCTAAATTATTCTGGAATTAAAAACCTTTTTAAAACCTAATTGTACTGCGTCTTTGAGTATAAAATATGAAGATGAGGTGGTTCGCTATCAAACAAGTGACGGAAAGCATATTTTTGTTAGCGTTTCTCATAAAATCTATTTGAATTTGCAGGACTATCGAAAATCAATGTGAAAAATGCATGCTACTTAAGTAGACATTTTTTGCCCAGCACGACTTCTACGGGCGATTGAAAAGGCGTGCATTTGAAAGCAGATATCCTGCCGAGTCCGAAATATTATAGGATTAGGCCGGAGGATAATCAGTATTACACCCCCACCTAATTAATTCTTCCCAATTGGAGACGCGTTTCAGAATTTTGGTGAACATTTAATGAGATAGGTCACTCACTGTAAGTCCTGGCCGGTGGACATTTTAACTCTATCATACCCACAAGACTGTGAGTGTTTTAACAGCGTGTTACTTCCGCGGTTTCAGCTTATCACGATGTTTTCGTCTTCGACTGTTTAGGTAACCATGACTAGAGTCCTCACCAGAATGTTGTTCTATCTGCCATATTTTACTTTCTAGCACTCTACACATATTTTTTATCATGTGTTCGATGAAGCCTTTTCTGTCGCTATACAATTTAAAGGCATGCTTTACGAAGGCTGGCATAATGGTCGCCAGTTTTGCCTGAATGGCCGTGTCCTGCAGGACATTTTGGTTGCTTAATTGAGTGCTCAATTGATCTGGTGTATGACTACTACCTGTGGCTCCATCAGTCAGCTCTTTTCGTGGACGACGCTGGGCAGATGGGCGTCTAGTGCGCCGCGGCGTACTAAATAGACGACTATTGTTTAGGAAGGAACATCGGAGCTCACCGGCGAAAGGGGGTGAGCTACCACCTGGCAAAGTGGCACTGGAATCCGCTGTGTCGCCTTCAATTTCCCGAAGAAGGAAATCCTTAGACAACTGATAACCTTACCAACGTTGATTCCAACTCTAGCGTCTCCCCCAACATCCAAGTGACTGGGTCAAATGGTATTTTTGGTGTTCTTTTACTGCACCCGTTTTCATTAGGTCGTAATTCGCCAGACGTGACTGTTTACAACCCAACAGGAAAACAAGAGGTTGCCGGAGGGAATGCTATTTAAGTAACCACTGCTTCCCTTTACCATCCACGAATCATTGACTAAGGGACTGTTGGGTTGTAGAATACATGGATAGTGACCGATGAACGGTGAGAGCAACAGTGAGACTGACCTTGTTTGCCGAGAATATGAGGGAAATTGCCGTCCACTGCAATCATTATTTCGTTGATCGTGCTTAGCCAGCCTCATCACCTACCACCTGCATGGAAAAGGCGCGTAACGTACTCACCGCTGCCCAATCCCGTTACCGGTGGCAAATCATTTGCTCCACCCAGAAGTGTTCCTGCGTCCAAGGACATGTCTGACACGTCCGCTGGCATAATCCGTCTCAAAATCTCCAACAGGCGCCTGTAAGGTATTTGGGATCGTACAGCCCAGGTCCACAGTTCGTCACGTACGGTTAGATCCTCTTCATTTGAGAAGGCCGTTGGACGTTCTTCAAAATAACTGTGCCATGGCACAGTCAGCGAGATCGATTTGTCGTCCGAAGAGGAAGTAGGGGCGTCTGTTGACTGAGTGTTGGTGGATAAACCCCTCGACGAAGATGATGATAATGACCTGGGGGGGGGGTACTTTTCTCCCAATTTCTTGGCTATTCCTCGTAAAAGGTTTCTAACCTCTCCCTGTCTCTCTACTCGCTTACTTTGAGTTATTCGGGCCATCGGCCTGGACATAGTAAAATTAACGTAAAAAACTCAATAGTACAGGTTAACAGAAAAAGATTTAATACAGGGCAGCAATGCGTGCGCTTAGTGGCGTGGGAAGGCAGACAATGACGCCCAGGCGCGAGCGTGCGAAAGCAGGCACGCCGTCCTATCGAAATTAAAGCTGCTAGCATATCAGCGTACGTTCACATGAGTGCGCCCCTGGGAAACTTGCTGCTACGACCGCAGCCAATCAATCAGAGGCCAGCTTCAATCGGGACGCGAGCACCGAGTCTCGTTTCGCATGTCTTTACTATCAGGGTGTATGAGCCGACACGAGGGGGGCCTGTTCCGAGAAGCCTAGCTGTACATAAATGTCTGATAGTATATGTAAAGTGAACCCAGCTCAATCCTCAAGAACCAAATTACTTTTCAAAAAACTGCATACTTTTCCTGAGCGCCCAAAACGGTCGTAATAGTGCGAGGTCCGTTTTGTGTCCCGTACCTCCAAATGCCGCCCCGGCGAAAGTAGAAATACTTCCCAAGGATCGGTATCTCACGCGCTTCTTCTGCTCCCGATTAACTGAAATGGAATCCCCTATGGTAATTAGACCGCCGTTATCGATGATGTCCACCATGTGTCCCACAGTAAGTTGGGTGCAGGGACGGTTATTTGCGCGCGAACTAGTTGTAGCGATGGTAGACTTGTTCAGCGTCTACCGCACTCCTCTTTCACCTGACTGAGCCCGGTATCAAGACGGAGGGAAGAAGATCGGATACTAGATCGGCCTTACAGAGCTAAGCAGCCCGTTTAAGCGTGCTGCACCTGGTCCACACACGATGTACCAGGTTTTCATAGGAACAACGAAGGGGCGGCTCAGATTCCATATAAATGAGAGTGGCATAGATGCCATATTACAGCCTGACTCCATCCTTAGGGGACCGAGTTTCCCCGTCAGTTGGCAGCCTTCCAAGCCACGGCTTTTAGCGCATCGTGATGTATTCGATCGCGTAAGGCTGTTAGTGATGATGAAAATGCGCCGAGTGCCGTCGTGTCGCAGTCCTCAGAGTCGACATCTCTCTATTCCCTCTCCCAGGCACCAGTCCGCTTTCCGATCCGGTCGGTCACCTGATGCCGGCATTGGGTGTAAGTTGCTGGAAAATCTACACAGCCCGTCTGCGCCTGTCACACACGCCCTGTCTCCCACACAACACACTGGGTTCAGGGGTGGCCATGTAGGCGTTTGCCGACAAAGTCATCATTACTTAAACCTACGCGATATTTTTGTTGTCGGTGCGATGTCCGCTTATGTCCAACCAATTTGACTTTTTGAACCTAACAAATGACCATTTAGATTGAAGTGCGTAAATAGAAACCTTCTTGAGCATCTGTCAATTTGGTTGGTTTGCAGTACTTCGACTGATTAGTCCCAGTATTCATTGGTGTTTTGGCAGATTTTGAATAATCCATATTGACCCAATTGTGAAAAACTCGGCGCCTCGGTGGGATTCGAACCCACGCAGTAAGGGGAAGGCTTTAGCGCAGCCAACGCTCTAACCACCTGAGCTACGAGGCCCCGCCGGACTTCCGGTGCGTGTAGCCTCCAAGTTGGTAGCATGAGCTAGCTTTCCCCGTACAGTTTGAATCGTTATTAACTATTTAACACGTTATGGCATCCGCTGGTCCACAGATCATTTTGTGGCAGAACGGTTCCTTGTGGTTACTGGTTTCGAGGGTAGATGGCGGAGGAAACCCTGATGCAGTCTGGGCATTCACCCCATTTGTTTCCGAGCTCGTCCTCTCTTGTCTACGATGTTGAAGCTTGTGCCAATTTTCATCGACCCGATTTGAACTGAAGGAGGGCTTCAATTAGGAGTAGTTTGCTTACATTTTGGCTCGTTCGTAATAGAGTGTAGGTCTTTGTCAGGAAATATTTAAACGTAATGTCTTTACATGCTCTTTTGCCATATTTCCATTTTCATTTCAGGCTGCTTCTTTAACCACATCTCAATCGTATTTAACGTTCATGCGCACCTGAAATCCACGATTTTCTTGTTTTGATCATAACTGAAGAATCCAAGTGTCCACCAGATGATCCGATTCATTCTTATTCAAAATCGAGCTGGCAAGACCAGACTGGCCAAGTGGTACATGAATTTGGCCGATGCTGAGAAACAGAAGCTCATCGAAGAGGCGCACGCATTAATCACTGTACGCGATGTAAAACATACCAACTTCGTGGAGTTCCGCAACTACAAAATTGTATACCGACGTTATGCGGGCCTCTACTTTTGTATCTGCGTCGATGTGATGGACAACAGTCTGGCCCACTTGGAGGCCATTCACAACTTCGTGGAAGTCTTAAATGAACTTTTTCACAACGTTTGTGAACTTGATTTAGTGTTTAATTTCTACAAGGTTTACACTGTTGTTGATGAGATGTTCCTAGCCGGAGAAATACGTGAAACCAGTCAGACAAAAGTTTTGAAGCAGCTGATGCTCCTATCGGCCCTTGAATGACATACTTCTACCACTTCCCGCCCCTACTTGTTTCTCAGTGTCTTTGTGATTTACATCGGCCCATAGTCCTTGTGCCCCTGCATTTGCCCATTATTTTGATTGGATTACCCCTTTCCATTTTGAGTTTCAATACCTTTCAAATTATCAAGTCTTGTCTCTGGCTGGACACCCTATTTGTCCGAGTTTTTTGAGCCTCGGCAACGTGTTTGTTCTGGTTTACGCAGAGCGTGGTCAATAGGTGTCGACTGTCCGACCCACTCGACCTCGATGCACACGTTTGGAACAGGTCTGACGGATTCAGAATTCGGTCGAAACCTTTATGCCTATCATTTCTGCGCCCCCGGCAAACCAAAGGCCTATAAAGAGGGCTTTTTGATGTCAGCACCGTCTAAAACGAACGGCAGGCTACATCTACTTTTCCAAAAATTCACTTGTTCCTCCATAGGCTACTTCTTCTTTCTTCACTGAAATTGGTGGTGTCTCTCTTAGTACATGTCGTTATTACTGCTTATATATCTTTTTCCTAACTGCAGGTCGTGATCTTTTAGTTCAGTGGTCAGAGGCATGTTTTATAACCCAATAATTCGAGTTCACTTAAACTCAGAGGTCTTGCTGCGGTGAAAGTTTGACAGAGAAGTTACTGCGAAATAAGCCAGAAGTAAATGTGTTGGTTTTCTAGTCTCCAATAGAAACGAAGAGACGATTCTCGGGAAGCAATCTTGAAGAAGAAGAAGAAGAAGAAGAAGAAGAAGAAGAAGAAGAAGAAGAAGAAGACACGATCGCTGGGACAAGAGCCTTATTAGCCTGACGTTTCGGATTACTGCTCGAACCCATCATCAGAAACAAAAGCAGATACGGGTGGTTCTAGTCTCCGTCGCGAAATGTGTACTGGTGAGATCTGATTCAAAAGACGGTGCTACGTATGCTACACTGATTGTTGCAGATGCCATATCCTACGTTCCAGTGCCGAAGTTGTGTTCGTTCAGTCTCGTCAAGCAGAACGATCGAGATCTTGTTCTCGCAGCCTATCTTGGTGTACGGGACTGTATGTGGAATGCCCAACAGTATTTCATGGCGTGAATAAACTGAAAAGCGTAAGCGAAGCAAGCAAAAATCCCAGGCACAGTTAGCATCTCTTTGGCGAACTGGGTGACGGCCAATTGTGGCATTAACATTTTCCGCCGACAAGCTTTTTCCATCATCGTTAGACACCCATGAGAAAAGTCTGCAGGACGGTTATTTCATTGCTCAGTGTATCCAATCGTCATGTGGACACAACTCATGGGTATTGCTCGCAAGTGCTGTACGGGGCCGAACCAGTCGGGGCTCCATACGTTGCTGGCGTCGAACACATGCTGTGTCAAGTCGAGCCACGTGCTTACTTCGTTCAAGTACCAACAAGATTGATAAGCTGACGGTTGGGGCCTCTGCTCCACCATGTAGTTTTTCGAGGAATATGATGCTGAAGTACTACTGGCGCCCACTTTTACATTACAGCTTTCACTGAGCACCGTTTGCCATTTGATGGATGATCAGGTGCCGCTAGTGATCCGAACCATCGTCAGGACGCATTTGTTCTATTGTCGTAGCCTTGTTGGCTACTCCTTTAATTCCTACAAGGCCAGCTAGCCAGTACTTTCGCCAGATCGACAACCACGAGGACAGCTTTCGTCCTGAACCGACCACTGTGGCAGCTTTGGACCATGCTTGGCTCCATGGGGGGGGGGTGTTTAGGCTTCTCGGGTTGTTTGCACGTGTTGTGGCTTTTATAATACATAATCTAACTATCTAAGAAATGTGATGGGCTCACCGGCTCAGTGGAATTGTGTGGCTGACGCTTCAGAGGGCATTGCTGGCTCCCCATTGCCAAAGCGTTTTGCGCAAAAATCGACCAGAATTGTGAATAAACGGCCGAATTAGTTGGCCTCGGGCCGATCGATTTTCTTCTCTCGCTGCCTTGGCCTCCTAACCGTTGTCTGTGAATGTCGGCGGCCTCCTGCGTTGTGTGTCGTCACTCCAATGGGGGTCGGTTTCACCTCTGCTCCCCGTTTGGGTGAATTAGTCGTCAGGCCGTGCTTGCTCGATATTTTTAAGCTCCGTGTGACCGTCCTGTGCTGGTCATGGCATGTGCAGTGACGCAGTTCGGTTTAGTTTAGTTTATTGAGGGAGAGGTACGCGAGCGCCTTTGAACTCCCCACTGGTTACAATAACGTCACAAAAAACATGTAAGGCAAGTGTGAAAGGAGAGTAGGTAATTAGTTACATACAACAGATATGCTGTACTTGTATGAATGTGTCAGTGTGTGCATACTGTGCCAAAATAATAATTGCGCGGTACTGAGGTGGTCCAAGTGATATGGAAACTACGGCTTATGCCTCAGCCAGGATTCGTTGGTTCGCATGTAGATGACCGGTGGGTATATTTAACTGAAAAGTTATAAAATATTGTTACTTGAATATAGAGAGTAGCGTGATTTGTAGCAACGTTCAGGCGACACAAGAGGAAAATTTGTTAGTTTCTGATGGCGTGGTGGTACATATCCCTGTACTAGTCAAGTTTCCTCCTAAATGAGTCCACGGATGGGGACATGACAACGCCCACAGGCAGATCATTCCATGCCAACATTCAACACGGGATGAAATTGCAGCAATTAACGACGCGAATGTAGGCCGTCAAACAGGCATCACACCAAGTGCAACGACCCCTAATGAAGTGGGGAGCCGTGAATGTTCATAGGTTTGCGGTAGCACTGCGACTGCATCCTATAAATACTGCAGTCCCTTGTGCGTGAACCACCCGTACCTGCTTTCGTCTCTGGTGATGGGGTTCGAGCTGGAATCCGAGACGTCAGACGAATAAAGTTCTTGTCCCAGCTATCGTGTCTCCTTCACAAGAGCATTCCATGCTTTAATCGCCCTGTTGCTGAAGAAGAAACTCCTTGCGTTCACTCTTGCCCCAGCCACACGTGGTTTATGAGGATGTCCTCTCAAATTAGTAGTTTTGGCCGGCTCAAAGGAGTCGCCTGATGTGAGGCAACAATCCCGACCCCGCAGCATGCGAAACGTTTGAATTAGGTCGCTACGTAGTTGTCTGTAATCCAGGGGAAAGAGGTCAAGACTGGTCAGTCGAGTTTCGTAAGGTAGATTTTTTGACCTCAGACAAGCTTGATCGCCCGGCTTTGGACTTTTTCGTGGGTGTCACGGTCTTTGACAGACCAGAGTCTCCAGGCCTGAATGGCAAATTTCAACTGTGATATCACAAATATCCCGAAGACCTTTCCAAAGCACCATTCGTTGAACTTCGCAAACGCTTGCTTGATGAGATATAAGCTGGACATTGCGAATTTCGCTACTTTCAAGCAGTGGGATGATGGCTTTAGTAAGGATGTTATCCACACACCCAGATCCTTCTGAACCTCTACCTTTGGTAGCGGTGTGTGATTTAGGTAGTACTTCCTCCGGTGTGCAGCTTTGGTTGTGTCAATTCAAAGAATGCTGCATTTGGAAACTTTGAACGGAGGGGCCAGTGACTTGCCCATTGCTCGAGTCGGTTCAAGTTTGCCTGTAGATTTGCTTCATCGTGCTCGTTGCGGAGGACGTTCCAAAACTGCATGTCGTCAGCAAACATGGCAATTGCGCAGTCCAACCCACGGATGCAGTCATCAATATATTTGAAGAAGTGGGCCAAGAACGGAGCAACCGTCACCTCCAGCGACTACTGGTCACCAAGACGGACACGCTGAGATAGACCAATCAAGAAGTTTTCGATCCCCGTCAGAAGCTTGCCCCTCACCCCTGTGTAGCTAAGCTTGTATAGGAGACGTCGGTGTGGCACACTATCGAAGGCCTTCTTGAAATCTATGTAGGCCACATACACCACTTTTCCTCCATCAATCGCTCGGTCCACCGTTCTAGACAGTGAAGTAAATTGGTCAAGCAGAACCTCACTTTGCGCCATCCATGCTGCCCATCATACAGGAGATCATGCTGCTCTAAAAACTGCTCCATAACTTTGCAGCATATGGAGGTGAGGCTTACCGGTCGGTAGTTGTTTGCGGAAGCTCGACAGCCACTTTTGTATATCGATGAAATCCACGCATTCTTCCACTCGGGAGGCAGTCTGCCTGCATCGAGAGGAGCTTGGAAGAGAAGACATAGAGGTTCCGTCAATTTTATGGCTAACTCATTCAAAAACTTTGTTGTTATTTCGTTAGGAACTGGCGATGTCGCTTCTTTCTACTTCGGTAGTCCTTGTTGAACAATAGTTTTGTGAGAACCACCGAATCAATTTTTGGGACCTCATCCACATTATAGTTATCAGCCTTTTCGTCGTCCTTGCGAAGTTCAACGCCATCATTCGTTTTTAACAAAGAGATGGGGTCCCTATTTTGAGTGCATTGCCGCGTGTAGTCGAAAAAGAGTTTTGGTTTCCTTCTGCACAGTTTAGCAGGTTACTCTCGAAGTCTTGGCAGGCTATATAAATAAGGCTTCTTACCCTATTTTTCTGCGCCTTATACTTATTTCTAGGGTCGATACTCTCCTCCCTGAGACAAGCTGTCACAGCTTTCGCTTGTGGTTGACTTCTCTCTCTAGTATGACCTTCATCCATCGGGGCCTGCTGGTGATCTTTTTCGACTTAGGGCAGCATCTGGTAGCAGGCTTCTACAACAAGGTCTTACCTCTCAACCAGTCCTCGAGAGCACACCCCGTGAATGATGCGTTCTAGTCTATACGGCGCATACCGGTTTTGATTTGGTTAAAATCTCCTCGTCATAGGTTGCGTCTGACCGTGATGCTTCGATCAAGTACAGAGAAGGGTGAATGCTCCCACCATAGGACTACGTGGTCACTTTTGCGGTGAGAAGGTAGACAGTTTGTGCCATCGACGCTGTCAGACGCTTATATCAGTACATAGTCCAAGCAGTTGGCTTGCTGCCCTTCACGTAGCCCGGTAGGAGATAAGAAGTGTTGTGTGAGGTGTGATTTTTTCACTGCTTGTAGGAGGCGGCAATCAAAGTTTACTTCTAAGTCTGTGGCAGGATTCAAATTCCAGTCGATATTCGGAACGCCAAAGCCGTCCATAATCATGATATCAAATCGGACTGAAAGCGCCTCTAATTCCCCTACCAGGCTACTGTCTGACTGCGGGTCCTTCCTCGGTGGTCGGTAGAACTTCAGGATGTTGAGAGCTTGTGACCCCGACGTTTTTATGGTGAGCCGAATTGCCTCACTTGTGTGTGCGAGTTTCGTCGTTTTTTCTAACACAAACAGACCATGCTCGACATTCTATCCTTCCCAAGCAAAAACCAGAGAGAGAGAGAGAGTAAGTTCACGGCTGTCTGCGTTCGAGGAAAGCCACGTTTCAGTTATGGATATGACATCTGGTAAAGTTTGGCTTACCTAAATCTTAAGCTCGTCTAATTTAGATAGCAGACTTTGGGCATTGATATATAAACATTTTTGCTTTTTGCCTTTGGTAACTATGCCGCCGCCGTTGTCATCCGCTCCAGCTGTGGCGACATAGGCACAGGATTAGTCCATATAAACTGAGACGGCCGCTCGATTATGCAGCTGTTGTAGATAATCGGGTTTTGTTCGCCATTGCTCTGTCGCATCCTGAGCTCCTAGACTGACTGCCGGCGTTTTAGTCGCTTCGGTGGTGAGTAATCCGGCTGGAAAACTCTTTGGTGGGACTATTTCCGCTGAAAACACCTTGAGAGGATGAGATCAACATGCTCTTTGCAACTCAGAACGACTTTGAGGGGTCTATGGTGCGGTGAGGTAGAGGGTTCAGTGGTATGCCCTCCGTGCCTGAAGGCTTGCAGTACTGAAACTTCGTCGTTGGGTTGAAGCATTGTGTTCAAAAGACTTTGGAACAAGTCGAAATCTGCTAGAACGCGTTCTGTAGGTGTGCCTCTTAAAGCCCCTATATTACTAGGCACTGTTTTCGGAGCGGCCTGCCTTTGTTGCGTGAGGATGGTGATTTGGGAATCTCTGGCGAACCTTTCATGACGATATTCAGGTTGCCATCCACCTTGAAGACCTTTTCTTGAAATAACGGCACCCTGTTCGTGACAATACTGTCCCTATCGTTTATGTCAATAGAGAGGATATTCGCATCCGCCGAGACTGTGTCTACTCGGTCGCTGGTGGCTTCTGTCGATTGCTCAGACAAGCTCTGACTTTCCACCTTAGAAAGTTCTTTTCCTCGAGTATGACGAAGCCGTCCGATTTCTGTCGTGCCCTCTTCAGTCATTAGTCCAATTTGGCTTAATTTCTTCTCGTGTGATCTCACTTGCCTGTGTATGATCTAAGTCTTATTCTCAATCACCTTATTCTCCCCGGTCTGTTTGTGGGGGAGGGAGGGATGCGGTGATCATCTGCTTTCTGTTCTTCTAGGGCGGTTTAAGATCTTGTTTTTCATTTTCTCCGCGGTGTCTATCGAAGTTTCTGTCCATGTGGTGGTCTTCCCAATTAGGAACCCTTCTACCTTCTGTGGAGGTGGTCAGGCAGCTATTAATCTGTCAGTGAGCTGGTGCTGATCTTCAGCTGAGTGGCTGCACACAAAAATGTTAATAAAACGCGGTTCCTGGGCTTTCGCAGTAACCATATGTTAACGTACAAGAAAGGTTACGAGAGGACCCCAAACGGATTACGTACACTTCGCAGCACCCCGCACTAAATAGGTTTCAGCACTGACTATCTGCGTAATCGATTCTTGAGAAAAGGCTGCCGCAGTGTCTTCGACGCCGGATGTCTATGGTCTCGCTAGAAACAGGTGACAGATGATATTAATGAAAAAGACCCAGTTATACCTTTCACTGTTCTAACTTAAATGCCGCTGATCGTCTCGTTCGAGACCTAAATGTCGACATTGCACGTCGATCGGTGACCATTTTCAGTGGCCAAATTGCGCGGGCCAAGAGCCTTTAGTTCCAGCGGAGCAGTCCAGTGTCACGCACAGCCTTCCTTGCATTGACTGCTCCGGCAAATACACAGGCCTCACCGGAAGAAAACGAGAGACCAGATTGCGCGCAAACCAGAAGGCATTTAGAGGGGGAAGCCTACCGTCAAGCATAGTTACTCACCGTTTGGAGCCAAATCACACTTTTAACTTTGCTGCCACGTCGATTCGCGGAGGATACGCCAGGGAGATGAGCACTAGGTGACCGAGCCGATCTTCGCTAAACGGACGTATCGAATCCGAATATCAGGCGCTACGTAGTCAAGCTAAAGCCCGCAATCCAGACGCTCGACTGGGTTGTACATACACACTAGCCAGTCGCTGTAAGGTCAACACTACTCAACGCTGCTTTTTAATTTTCCCAGAACTTAGCCGCTAACTTGTAGTGAATCAGCCTGAACTAGGGTCCGAAATCCGATATGAATATTTAAGTTAAAGTCCATCAGTCACAGCGGGAAACCGCATAATAACCATTAAACTGACAACCAGCAGTTAGTAGCATACATTGGGGATACAGGACACCATACTGGCAGTGTAGGTAATGGTGAATATCCCAGACACGTGCTGAGGGATCCACAGATGACGCGAACCCCTCACTGCAGCGGCAGAGCACCGCCAAAACACGTGTCTGGGCTTTTAGCTAGTACCTGCTCTGCCAGTATGGTATCCTGTAACCCCAAATGCTCAACGTACAGAGTTTGAGTGGTTAGATTGCATCGATCGTATGCAGGTCACTGTTCAAATGCCGACGTGTAAGTGCGGAAGCCGAAAGTTTTGCACGTACATGCGAGACCTAATGCGTACCCAGGACTTTTGCGGTTTACTACCTGAAGAAAGACCAGGAGCAGACGGAAGAAATGAGCTTAGGAGAATCTAACAGCCAGTCCTACAGCGTGCTCACCCGGAAGGGAGGTATTTGTGTCAATAGGCCGGACAACACTCACTGAGGCCCATATACCGCTCGTCGTTGATAATGGGGAGCTGATAACGAACTCAGTTGCCGAGCCCGCCGGACGTACAGGGAGCGAGGGAGGGGAAAAACCAGACAAAGTTCGGCCCGCTCAACCAGTCGTTTGAATGTCCAAGTTTTTTTTCATTAGATACTTTGGCATGTTTGAATGTACTCCCTCCCCATATAATTGTACTGGTCTGAAGAGAATTTACCGAAAGCAGCGTATGCTGGCCAACTCGTCTTCTGAACGGAAAAACGATCAAAAATCCCGAATCATGAGCATTACAACAAATCCATTTCAGCGTGTCATTCCCGCTTTTTCTGATATTTTCATAGCCACTAAGGCGGGTCCGGGAATAGGAGATCTCAGACGGACAAATTATTGTTCCTAGGAAAAAGGACATGTCCGTCTGTTGCTTTTATTATTACTATTATGGAAATACGAAGCAGTTTAAAGAGCCTTTGTAAATAAAAAGGACTGATAGGTTAAGCGGGTGGTGTACAGAAGGTGGGTGTTGGAAGCAGGGAAAAATAAGACAAGGAAAGACAAAATGGAGATAGTCCTGATTTAAAAGCAGAGACAAAATGTTCACTATTCAAGTCTGTGTTTTATTTCTTGCTTTGTACAGTATAGCAATGCACTAAGAAGGCGCACAAATCCTGTATCCATCGGTTTGTCCAGACCCCTGAGCAGTCGATTCTTCATGACTTGTACAAATTCCTTGTAACTGAGCTGGCCATCACCTGCAAACCGAAAGAGAATTCGAGTCAGGCATATGAGGACCAGTAACCTTGATACAAAACAGGAATTCAAAGGAAATGCGTATGACGAAATAGCACATTAATCGTGGCTTACAGGTAACCGATTTGTCAGTATATAAAATCCGCACAGAAAGCAGTCCTCTGTTAATTTCATTTATTTTGGATGTGTCCAAATAAAAGGTAGCTGTTTTCTAACTGGCCCAAATACTAGTTAGTTCAATATGCCAAATGACAGAAGCGTGCTTTCTGAAGGTGAGAAAAGCAGCGATAGTTTTTCTCCAAGTCTTTTAAGCAAAATTGACACAAATGATCAGCTTCTCCAAAGCAATCCGACCTACTTGATGGAGTTCGTCTCAGGTGTGCAAATTCCCAGCAGTATGCTAGATCGTAAAATGCTTCCTTGCCGAGGGAATTTGTAAAAATAGGGTTTAAAATGACTGTGTCGAGAACTTTGGCGCCCCTTCATAAACGCCAGAACAGAACTTGGGACCATCTTCTCAGACTTCATGTCTGACAGGCGTTAATGAAGGCTTTTCAAAGTGCGTCTCACATTTTCACAATGTACTCCAGGCGTTTCGAAAGTTAAAATACGTTTTGATCATATCTAGCACATTTAGACTTCACTACTGATCACGTAGGGAAGCAGTATGCACATGGTTTGCTCGTGGTTAGAAGCGATCTATTATGGGGAATCACTGCGTAAGATTGCGAATGTAGAAAGGCCATCCAAGAAATTGAATTTGGGACCGCAAACCTACTCTCAAAAGTGAAATTAATAGGAAAAATGCTGTTTTCCCGGTCTTTACAAGTATATTTAACAAATTGAGGTCAAAAACTCCGGTGCAAAGTGCTCATCAGTTATTTAAAATATCACCTGGGCGTAAGTGTCTTTGAAATCAATTTTTTCAAATTCAAACCAAGAAGGGGCTTGTTGCACTGAATACATTCCTTCCGAAAAGGCGAGCTCGCATTCTAATGTATCGAAATTCCTTGGCATGTTATTCTGGCAGAAAACTGATGAAAGTATTAGTGCCCTGGCCGACATTTGTTTTCTCGGCGCCATTGGCCCTTCGACAAGTCTAACCGGGGTGCGCGAATTACAGTCCTTCAGAATTTCCAAACTCCAGTAAAGCCTTGGCTTACTGGATGGCATCCTGTACATCCCGGGTTCGAAGGTGGACGTCGTCATCCATTCCTCAGGCACACTACTTTAGGATGTCGGGGTCGAGTCAGACGGCGGGTTAAGTCCTGGTGGATAGTAGGTAACAATGACAATGTTGTAATACGCTATGGCTTGTAGGTAGCCAATTTTCTAATTCGCTGCTCAGACACTGTTACATGGTCCGCAACTACTTCACCGTCATGCCCCAAAAACCCCTTATTTCAAAGTCAGTCTTCGCTGATGGCCACTGGTGAAACGACACCAGTGGAAGCACCGGGTAGTTCACAGTCAAACTAGCAAAAGGGTGCCGCAGGTGTTCATGAAAATGTTAATTTTATGCACGTCTTTAATCTTAGGAGCTAGCAGGCAGGTCTTGGTTTTTTATTGCGACAGCGTCCCAATGTGGAGCCTCAGAGTACCTGGATGCACCAATATCAGGGAAAATATTAAAAAAATAGAATTATATTTGGTGATAATGAAGGGTAGGTACCGTTTTCGTCGAAAAGGGTGAAGACGACATCAACAACGTGCGGCCTGAGATGCACATTCGCGACGACTTTGGCCATGTGCAGGAATGTGTCCGAATCGATGGCAGCGCCGGCCAGGGTGTGGAAAGTCAGTGCGGTATCCAGATCGGAAATAGAGCGAAGAAGTCGACTAAAGTCAAGGAAATCCTTGAAGCTGATTCCCTAGGAATAAAGAGAGGATAGGAGTTCAGGTGTATTGTTGGCTGCGCACGAGGGGTATGCGGACAACTTCCACTACGTCCGATAAAAGCATTCAGGAGAGCAAAAAGACTCTTTGTGCTCAACGGAGAAAAGGCGAGTATCGTGATTGGTAGAAACCTGTGACGAAGAATGCCAAACATTGGGAAACTGAAATATGACTTAGTTGCGGAGAAGATGTCTCTCTTGACGATTCCATTTTCCCTATAATGACTCTTGAAGCCCAAATAGTCTGTTCGAAATCCAAAAGTTCTAAAAAGCCCAGTCAGTCAAACAAGGACGTCAGATGTTTTGTAAGTTTGGTGCAGAGGGGATGATTCATTTGGTTCACCCCAGACGGCTCTAAGCCACGCAGTGTGGCCTGGACAGCTAATTTGGCAACGACAGCGTATGTCACCACCACAGTTCGGCCGTCGTTTCCGACGATGTCCACCGAGTGCTCCATAACAAGGTGCAGCAGGCACGATGACTTGCGCGTGAATTAGTTTATAGTGATAGTAGACTTGTGCAACATCTGCAGCACTCTCTTCCCCAATCCCCACTTGGACCCGGCATCACGAGAGAGTCAAGAAGACCGGAGGAGGGGGAGGGCGCGGGTCGATGGCACAGTCAAGCCCGCACCTTATCGCACCACTCCACACCCTCAGGTCCACACGGAAAATGACCCCAACAGGGGTCATAAGGATGAGGATGATGACTGGGCAGCCATGCCCACCATCTGTATACCCAGCAGGAGCGCAAGCGCATCTACCGGCAGAGAACCGAGTGTCAGAAACTGCCAGCACATACCAGGCTGCGAGGGCCATGGGTTGCTGATACTGGCATAGCGCACGCTCTCAGACCTTTGGGTATGTCACCACACCTGAAAAGTGGAGCATATAAACTCCTGTAATATGGGAAGGAAGCTAATATGTCTGTGGATTCAAACAGATAGAGGTGGTAACAAACGGAATCTACGGGAGGCATTGAGAAGACTCGCATTTCTGCCGCACAATTGCTTTGATGCTCCAAATAGGTGCCGGAACAGACCGCGCAGTTTGAAAGGTGCGAATTAAGAGCAGGAAAACAGGTCTTCCGCGGCCATTGATTGATGATGGCCGGATTGTGTGGGACGGTATGCGGCAGGCAAACATAAAATTAACCTTAATCATTAACTTAGCCCTAACCCTACCCATTAATTTAACTCTAATCTTAGCCCTAGCAGTGGCCGCAACATGACATACCTACGCAAATTAAATAAATACGCATGTCCCGGGAATAAAGTGTGGATGGGCCACACACGCTATCCTTTCCGTTAATTTAACTGAGTGTGAGCGCAGATGCAAAAGCTTACCGTAAGTTCTTTTTCTTTCCCTTTGCTAGCCTGCTTCTCCTCGTCATCATCATTATCATCGTCCTCATCCGTATCAAACTTTTGCTTTACCCGACGAAGCATAAGTCTTCTTCTGTTTTCCGAAAAGCCTGCATAAGTCAGTAGAGATTTGGCAAAAGCACGCTCCGAAATTAAGCCATTCTGGGGATTGAGACGTTCAAACTATCAATGTCAGAGAAAAAAGTTCCTTGAAAATAGCGAGGAATACAATAATGGGATGAGGACTTCAAAAAATTAAGCTTTTGACGTTATGCTGGACAAGCTCTATTAGACAAGACAACTACAGAGGCAATAAATGCTGGCTGACGATCGACTTAAGATAGGCACCGAAGGGCTTTTTAGGTCATTTTACGGTTTCCAGACGTCTGGGCTGTCGGCAATCTGACCATTCCTCCCAGATTTCTGTCCCGACCGACCAAACGCACGGCAAATGTACGTCGGTGGCGAACAGTGTGGCGTGTTGACAAATTTTTCCAGCCAGCTAGAGCAATCCCACCGAAAGGAAAGGTACTGAAGTGATACATACACTTCCACTGGTTACAGACGTTTGCGAAGAGTCAGCGAGCTTTAAATTGAAGGGAGGGTAGGACGCGGGAATATGGATACTTGTAATACAGATGGCCTTATGCTAAGTTCCAGAAGGGGTACCTATTCCCATATCCTAACCCTAACCCTGAACATAATCTCAACCTGCACCTTAAACGTAAAATTAAACCCAACGTTAAACCTAACCCTAACAGATCAGATAGAGGACTATCAAAGCGGGTCTGGCTAAACATGGCTTCTTGCCAATAAGATGTCGAAGAAAGCTGAAGTCCAGGGTTGACAATGAGAGAGGAACATCCCAAGCAGGCATAACACCTTATGAACTATGTAACTCATATAAGCAGGGGATAGGTGCAAAAAGGCTAACCTCCAAACGTGTGATTTCCTGTTGCAAACGAGCCTGGAAGTCGATAAACTTGGCGATAGTCAGTTTCTCGTTGCCATCCTTTCCGAAGAAGTAGTTGTGCAGAGCACTACGGCTCACTGGTTTCAGTGTGCTTCCGGTGGTCGTGTGGTCACGATGACGCTTGCCCACAGCAGTAGTTTCCAGGATTACCGTCCGAACCTTCGAAAAGGCACACGCATTTAGTCCGGCAGTGATGAGTAAATGGAAAGGAATAGTGTAAGTTGCCAAGAACGAGTGCACGTCTTGGAGGAATTCGAGGAGCGGGACATGGGCGGAAGCCCTGGGGGTAGTGGGGTAGGCCACTTCACTGCATCCAGCCTGATGCCATGAAATGCCCTCGGCGCGTTGACCATATTTTACATTGAACCTCATCGCGTGTTGGCCTTACCATGACAAGCGATCCTCGAGGTAAAATGAGTCCTAGATGCCTACCTCGGTACTACCGCTGTCTACCTCTTTAAGTCGGTTTTTCGTTCGCAAACAAGTGTTCTTATCCCGAATCTCTATTTCAGAAATACGCTTCATGATTAAAGGTGAGAAGTGTGTTACTGCCTTGACACATAGTTAGACAATGCCGTTGGCAACATCCAATTCTTAGCTAGACAGATGGACGATTAAGTGCCTACGGAGAGTGTAGGATGCTCAGAAACAAGTGAAATGACGTATTTTGCATGCTGCAATCTGATAATTGGCGTTTAGTTCGTAGGAGAAGAAGTTGTTTTAAAACCTGCAGCGCATATTAAATAGATGCAAGGGAATAAACCGCCAGTCCAAGCTGCATTTCCGTCAAGGACTTTCACGTATTTGATTTTAGACTCGAATCGCCACTCAAATGAAAGGACTCGCACGGATGCACACAACGAGCCGATACGGTTTATGACATGCTCGGAAGAATAGTCAAACAGCCGGGGAAAAGCTACGCCCGTAATATATTGTTAAACATTGGGGCGAAAATATTCGTAGTCAAGACCCGCAGTCAGGCCGACGTCAATTAGTGTATGGGGAGGGGAACTGAGATTCAAAAGCTAAAAAATCTGAATCACTGACTTAACCAGCGTGGAACCATAAACACTGTAGAGGTTTGACTCGGCTATTTGCCCAGGAGACAAATCCAGGATTCATAAACTACACATGACATGTTGTTGCATAAGTCGGTAAATAGGAATTTCAGGGGTGCAGATTTTGACTGTCTCCAACAGTACATTTTTAAGTATCTCGCTATGTCGGGTCCTATCAGAGCGAGAATGTAGAGCTCTGTCATACCAGAAAGCACGGTCATGAACTGAGATATGGTCCTGAACTGCTATTAGTAGACGTTGACGCTGATTATTATGGCAATGGTGTGACGTGGATGATATTGCTGATTATAAAAATGCAAAAGCATGTTTCTAAGTTATCACGTGCGGTCTCGCATTCAAGGATATGAAAATGATTTGGCTAATGCTGTCGAAAAGGCAGAGGGACGAGCCCAGCGCATAGCCTGAAACAGATGCGTCGAAGGTTTTGACGCGAATTGGATGGTCACTGGAAGTTTTTTCGACGGAAGGGGCTGCTGAGTGGGTTCAATATGGAAAGTAACATAGAACAAGTTTGGGAATTCTGGCCGGAGCACCGGTTTAAATAGTACTCGAAAATGAGACAGGAAGTTAGTAATCCAATGCTGGGGTTACAGTTTAAGCATCTAAGTACCCCGCAGATTAATAAGGCAGGACGTTAGAGCTCAAGTTCAGCATCGTTAAGGTAATTTCCGGCTGTGCAAGTCTGCCGGCGCCTTGACCTTCTAGCAATGACCATTCCAAAGAGAAACAGGCCTCACTCCTTTTGGAGAAGTTTCGGGAAAGTGTTTAACCGGAAGAACTCACAACATTAAACTCGTTGGCATCCAATTCCCCGTCGCCGTTGATGTCGAACATGCGGAAGGCGATTTCGAACTGACGCGGTGGCGCTGGAGAAAAAAGTAGGAAGGAACAAACAATAAAGGTTGTCAGCAGAAATAAAAAAGACCATTCCAAAACACGGACTGTTAATATAAACGTCGGTAAGACACGGGAGTAGGAGCCCCCTCCTAATGCAGGCGGCCTTGTGCAGAACTCTTGGAAGGATAAATATTCTCATGTGCTAACCCTTGCCCTAGATTTAACCATAACCCTAATCTCCAAGAAAATTAGCGCAGGGCCCACGTAATAGGGAGAATGGTTCCTGTTACCGTGTCTTGCCTCAACTTCTAGCAAACAGATAAGGCACGCGAATCAAATCGCTCGGTCAATGTGAAAAGGAACATGAAATCTGCCACGCGAAGAATCGAAAAGTTGAGGAAAGGACCGGTGAATAAATGATAGTAGTGGTAAGGGAATGTCGGATACCGCAGGGTAATCCTCGTCATGAAGTTGTCGATTTTAAGCTGGAAGTCGGAAATAGAAGAGGTTTCTTTAGAACAGATATGGATTTGTTAAGAACTGTCGTTAATGAATTGCTCGCCTCTTGAGGCCAAACTGTAAATTTCACCGCACGTTAAGGTCAAACGCTCCTGATATACTTCTTAGTAGGAGGATACTATGTTCCTTCAACTGCCTACCAACCATTCAGACACGAATAACCATACTGAGTGATTTAGATAATTGCAGTCGGGTTTCTCTGGATTTAGCACCTTTTGGCGAGAAATCAATCTGCTCTTGTAGCAATAATTCAGTTACTTTTGACGTCGGCTCTTAGTAACCAAGTCTAGAGGGTTCTCGCGGTTGGACTTCGCAAATGTACATGTGTCCGCTCGAAACGGCCAGCTTACAGACCCGTTCTGTGCGATTTTGCATCTATTTTCAATGGGCAGTTAACCGACTGCAGTCATTAGGGCTGATAAGACCGAAAAAATTCCGAAATCTAACCGAGTCAGTTGACTGAACACTACTACTCAGGCTTTATTGTTGTTCCTCAATGATCAGCGTCATCCCGGGGTTGGAAGTCGTGATACACGTTCTAATCTAGATTCCGGACGCGATGGAAGGTATTCCATCGGTAGGCGTTCAGTGGGCTCAATCCCAATGCGGGACTTTCAGCAGGCACCATCAAGGACACCTATATTCTTTTATCGTTCGGAGAGGTCTGGACGGTGGCCACTACGTAATAGGCTAAGGCGTACTTGCTCAAGAACGGTTTATCAGCATCCCTTACAAGTGCTTCCTCGTTTTCCCATAGACACTTCGCACGGAGATCGTTGTGGCTTGCGGCGGCTAGGGTACTCTCCTGAATAGCTTGGTGTAGGGGAGTTGAAGTCCTGGTCCAAGGAAGAGATGTCTAGCAACGGCACGAGGGCAGGCTACGCAACGTACGTCTTATTTGAACTGGAGTGGTAACTGGTCTGTATCACCTGACAAAGGACCAAGTTTACTCCGGCCCTCTTCAAGGCTTCTATTATGTCACGGTCCACGGCCACGATTTAGGTGGTTTGGAGTGCAAGCGGCTAGACGACAACGGGAATTCCTGAGGGAATCAGGTAGATCTGCGGGGGTCAACTTGTGCATCGAGAACTTAGAAACCCATAATGAAGCGATCTATGGGTTTCCGAATATTGAGAAAGTAAGGATAGTTGGCGAAATCTGCAGAACGTACTCACTTGATATAACGGTTAGGAGGAAAACGAAGTCAGTGAAAGATATCAGTGCGTTCTCGTCGAGGCAATAGAAGATGGAATCCTTAGGAATTGAAAGATTCAGTTTGTCGTGCTGAAATTACACAAATAAACTGTCAGGGAGGTCGCCGAGCAAACGCTGCTGGCAAGGAGAGAGGGTGAACACCACTGAATGTGTGTAAAAAGTGAACCAAGAAAGGCTTATTGAAAGGTGTTGTGAAACCACAAGGGGAGCAGGTTTTTGGTTAGTGCAGTCAGGTCAGTTAACTAATTTGGCTGAGTCACGGTCAACAAAGGGAGGAACCGCCGGATTCATCGGCACAGGTGATTGGAAATGCAAACACTCATCGGTTACTGCATAAGTTTAGTAAGGTAGGAGCGAGAAACCAAGAGGAAAGTCGACTAAAAAACGTTCCAAACCTTAAAAAATCAAAATAGGAACAAGTGTGGGCTACTTGTTAGTTCACATATTGCCGGCCGGGTGTAGAGCAGCCCTTTACAGCAAACCTTTCCTGTGGCAATGAAGATTTGCTCGGCGAGCATTCGTCTCAGGAGGAGGTCCCATCCTTGTAAAAAAACATGGGAATGTTTGAAGTCCGCATTCTACTGTGTGATCCCGATGTGAGCCACGCTTTCAGGGGATGCAATCACCTTAGGCTGCTTACCCCTAGTAATCGGCATCTTCTGAGACAACCTTTGTGCTCGTCGATGTGCGTCTTTAGGTTGCGAGCAGCCTGTCCGATGCTGACTGCTACATACAAGCTAGGCTAACTCACAGATAAGATTGCCCCTCTGCTTATCTTTCGATGGAGCTTTGACATTTCCATCTGTTTCTGATGGTGTTAGAAGCCCCGAATTCAGGCTCCTGTTTGGTACAATGGATACTAAAATATAGAACAGACACTCGCTGGTTGGATTGTTTGCCGCTTTAGAGTCCTCCCTTTAACTACTGCGGATCAGTTTATTGGTGAGCTGTTGTCAGCCAGTTGCTCTTTGAAGAAGTCTTGTTCTCATTTAATAAGTCTTGCACCGAAGAATGACAGTTCACTTCTATTTAATTCGGATTCTGTTGTGAACTGCATGTACTTATAGACCGAATTCATGAAACCTAGAAATACGTAAAATTGTTTTTTGAGAATGGCAAAGGTGGTGTCTACACAACGCCAGACAACTATGGAACGGTTTTTTGGAGGTTTATAATATATGTTTGTTAGAAAGCTTCTATGGACTAAGGCTTGTGTGTGGCGACCTACAAAACCCCATCAACCCATAGAATGTTGAGTCTCCCAGTGTAGTATTAAGGAAGTAGATTCAAAGATAAACGAAAACGTGCACCATTACAACTTCGTAATGGTTTTATACAAAAACTTGCGAAGACTGTGACTTCTGCAGTCACGAGCAATTCCGGAGATTAAAGGTGAATTAATCGTTCTTAAATGAGAGAGTCTGTGACTTTTGCAGTTCAGGTAAAAAGGGCAGTTATCACGAAAACGGCCAAAGTATATCAGAGACGATGGATAGTGACACGAAGTGCACCGTATCTTGTTGCACAGGTCAAAAGTTAAAACGTCTCTGTGGGACGAATTCACCGAGGAGTTTTCGCCTATCAAAAGCTTCGTCCCCCAAATGTTATCTTGTGAAGCACTGGTCTGGCTTTCGTCCGAACGCTTCGTAATTGTAATCTAGACAGGCTGAAGATCAGGTATAAATGCATTCTGACCTATCTTAAGGCCCTCATGCTCAGATGTACGAGAGTAAAAACACAAATAAAGGGAGGTCGTGGCGGGATGCCAACAGCCTTCAACGATGTCGGGGTTTACTCGAAAAGATAACCCTGGTTCTATGCCCTCAAATTTAATCTGTGCCCGCAGACAATGTCGGTGAGAGGAACGCTTCGAGAATGTATGGAATTCTGAGGGGCATATAACTACTGGAGAATTCATGTTCGGAATGCACAAGGTTGCAGAAAACTGAAGGAAGTGAGGACCCGAACATCGTGAAAAGATGTGCCACGTCTTCAAAAAACTATCAGTGACACGGCCTCCAACTGTATAAAGCTCGTACTGGTGATTCGGAGTTTGTGTATTCCATTGCAGTTTGGTGTGCTTAACATTGCTCAATATGGACGAACTCCAAGTGGTTGTTTTTTGACTTCCACGAACTCTGGTTTGCATGTTTGAATGGCTAGACCATTCTCTTTGCTAAATACTTTCGTCTGATCAATATACACGGTTTCACTACCGCACAAAGATTCACGAAATATGTGAGTCGGGTTGCGTCGAGTCTGCATGAGTCCTTATTTAAATGGGCACTCCATGGTCTTGGAAAATCTCATAATTACAACCTTATTTTTAAACTGTAAGAAATCCATTCTTTAAAATACAAATTTTAAAAAAGACGTAATTTGTTACCTACTGAGTAAAAAAATGGATATTTTGTGCATGTTCTCTAAAAGATACATTCGAATTCACAGGGCACCGAAGTCACTGGATAAAATTCATTATGCTTAAGTAGACACTTTGTAGCGAGTGGTATTTTTGCAAGCAGCCGGAAAGAGGCGCATTCAGAAGTCGGAATCATTACGTGACTGAAATCTTCTGGAAGTATGCTGCACAATAATCGATATTACAATTTCATTTAAGCAATCGTTTGTAATCGAAAACACTTCTTCCAAAATTTCGAATACCACTGCCTTAGATACGTCAACTGCCGTAAAGGGCGTTCGAAACTATCATGAGTCAACCGTCATTGTTGAGAAGGCTACCAGATAACGGGATAACTCTGCCTGCTTTTGAACAAGAGTGCAACGGCTCCTCTTCTGCTCAAGCCTTATGACACTCGCTTATGCGAGATACCGGACTTCATTGCCCTGAAATCCGGGTCGGATGCAAGATGTGCACAGGAGTCGGTTAGACTTGCCAGTCACTGCGCCCGCGTACGCCCATCCTTCTGTCTTTCCATGCAGCATTCACCCACGAAGTGAATGCCCAGTTTTTGGCAGAGAGCTAAACGAGCGAACTTCATGTTGCATTTTTGATTTGGAGGACTCAGTGGGTGAGGTTGACAGCAATTGTCCCTATCTATTAAATGCTCGCGTGCGTTTAAATCCCAATGCCGTCTACCACTGTTCTTTAATTGTTAACAATACGATATAAGTCGTTGATGGGAATCAAGCATGCTGGCCAGAGTGGCAGCTGGAGAGTCGTTTCCGACGACGACAACCGCAAGTCCCAAACTAGGGTGGGCGCACTGACGGAGACTTGCGCGCGAAGCCGTTTGTAGTGATTGTAGACTTGGGCGACACCAACTGCACTCTCTCTTCCTCCACCCTCCTCGCCCCGTGTCGAGATAGAGTTACAAAGACCGCAAACAAGATTGGGCGCAGGTGGTGGCGCCGCGTGGGCCAACGCCTAGGCGTGATGGCTGACAGGGCGTCGGCAGTGTCTCAGTGTTGGTGAAAGTGGGAGAGGTGCTAGCCATCGCTGACGTCGTCACAGGGTTTGTGACAGTGATTATGGAGTTGGAGGTAGCCACGACAGCATACACACGAGTGACTGGACGAAACGTACCTTGGGATCAAAGCGTTTGAATGCATCAAGTTCCAGTCCCTCTGGTTGTTTCATACCGGGAGTGATTGCACGTAAGAAGTCATCAGGTGTCATGTAGATCTCTCCTGTTCCATCCTCCTCGATGCACTTCAGGGTGGCGAAGTAGCGAAATATCTTGTCCGGCGTCGAATACGCCCTAATTCGGTCTTCGTAGGCAATAAACTAAAAGAGCAACAGAATCGTATTGGTTAGATGGTTGGAAGGCAGTAAAAATTGACTGTAAATCATATTCGGATCACTGTTTGGTAATTTAAATAATGGCGGGGCCTATGAGGCATGCAGTTACACAAATCCACCACGGCAGAAAAGCGTGAAGACGTGGAACATACTGGAGCTCCTGATTTGCAAACGCACCATATTTGACAGCCAGCCAAGTAAAACCTCGACTCCCAGGGTTATAGGGAGGTTCACACTTCAACATGTGACAGTCTTCTCAAATATTGCAGCCCTTCCTGTTTAGTTCATCAAGTGTTTATATTTGTGAAGGTCTAGAAAACTTTTTTTCAGGTCTGCATACGAAGGAGATTATTTTCGTCTCTGACGAGAGGTCTTTTTGATTACGGGACATAATGGCCTTTATTCTCTGCGTAAACGGTCGGTATTGGTATCGTTGGATGTGAGCATTTATGTGGCTAAGTTTAAGGAATTTGAAAAATGACAGGTCCAGGAGGTATTAACACTGCGGGATCACATGTACAACGGGACCATATGGGAAATTGGCGACTTGGAGAAGCGAGCAGTCACCCATATCAGAAATGACTATATTAGTTAGTAAAACCTCTCACTCCAGTGTCTTGTAACAACAGGCCGGACACCTTTCAGGCAAGGATTAATAAACTATAGAAAACCACATTACTGTATGCAACATATAATTCACTTTCCTATTATGCTGCAGAGAGGCGATGCTGTTTATGAGAAGAGACCCGCTTTGACCGATGTCTATGCAAGAGTGGAGGGATAAAACCGTGCGTTGCGAGTACCAAAAGTATTTTTCGGACATTCGAAAAGCCATTGCTGGGAATCTCCGAGCGCAAACAGCATCCTGAGATCCACGTTTCCGTGGTAACAACCACGTGTGATTTACCCCAAGATGACATTTCTCGCAACTCATGTGTTTTTAGGGATACCTACACTTGCGTATTTACTGTTGAGCTAACAGAAGCTGCAAGAGTTTAAAAAGGCCTTAGTATGGTCGCTACCGTTCGCGGGAGACATTTCTTGAGACAGCATAGCATCCGCTCAGAAAAGCTGCGGAAGACGGAAACGGATTGAGAAGAAACAGCCTACGCGAGGGGGATTACCGCAATTCCTCCGGTAGGCCTCACCTAGCTCAAAAGTAGACACGCAGGCGTAGGCAGCGCTTGGAAAACACCAGATCTGCAGCAGAGGTCAGTTATCACGGAACCGTAAAACGCAGAATACTGATTGGGTTCGAAGATTTCCGGTAATGACCTTCGAGGCTTTCGAAAACTTTCTAGGAAACTTAGGAGGGACGCGCTATAGGTAAGGTAGCAATCTTCACCAGACTTGGCAGTGACAAATCAACAGACTATAGACTACTTTTTTGCAATGGAAATCCATTAACCAAGTCGACAATGTTCGTGCAATGTATCGTAAAATCTGAACACAGAGGTTTAAGTAGATCATCATGCAGAGGAATGAGAGTGGTCGACATGATGCAGTTAACGCGTTGTATTCAAAATGAGTTCTTCTAAGACAAGGTTGCAGTCACGACAAAGCGACCAACAGATAAGGGCGTAGTTACTTGTTCGCGGTGCGGCTGCGATCATACCTGGCCTAGCTGGCCTCGACGGTGTCCCGAACTGTACCTCTCCACGTGTGACGATCTGAGGCAGCACATCTGGACAGTTCAACCCATTCTCTCTGCCAACAACTAAGATCGAATACCGAAGGTCCAAGAACCACCGCCACTTCCTGACGAAATCTGTCAAGCCAGGTTTTCGGTTGACTCCCCCTTCAACGCTCCCACTTGGCTAACGGTGCCGGGTCGAGGGCAGTAACACTGAGCTCCTAGGTGAGCGACGAAGAAAATGCCAAAACCACCTCAGTCGTCTTTCTTGGATGGCCTGGGTTATCTGTGCGATGCTGTCGCAGCGAATGCAAACTGTGTCATTTGAGGCGAAGTCGATGTACTCCACTCGACGGATGGTCCCCAAGCAGTGGTGGTCAAATGCCTCCAGTTTTCGCTTGTCCTCCACGCGCACAGTCTAACATCCACAACCATGGAGGACAGATCGGACGGATGCACGGTACACGCGAATCTTAGTGGCAAAGGAGGTGTCGCGTCGGATCCATAGGCATCGTCTAAGGTTTAAGAAAGCCCGTCAGGAGGCATCGATTTGGGATACAATTCCGTCCTTACTCTGCCCATTCGGCAGCAGCCTCGCCCCGACGTATTTAGACCTGTTTATTTCCTCAAGTTGACGGCCATCAATGTCGAGTGTTACCTTCTTCTGGTCCGGGATTCAGCTTGAAAACAATTTGGTCTTTTCAGCATTTATGGGCCAACCGACCGATTTAGCGACATCGTTCACCCGTGAAACCATAGGCTGCGGATCACCTAAACCTGAAGCTGGTCGGGCCATGCCATCGACATGGTCGAGATCAGTCAGCCGGTGTCAGGGTGCAAGCTCAATACCGTCATCTTCGTGTAGGGCCCTTCCGCGAATCCGGTCAATAGCGTAGTTAAACGGAATGGGCGACAGGATACAACCCTGTCAAACGCCAGACCGAATACCAAACGGTTGGGAAAGATTGTTGTGGACCATAACTTGCGCACCGGTGGAACGACAAGAGGCCTTGACCATGGTGAGGATTTTTGGCGATACACCATCTAATGCCATTATCCACCACAGGGACCCACGACGGACGGAGTCGAACGCGGCAGCAAAGTCAACAAAACAGACGGCCGTCGGTCGTTGGTAGCTATGGCTGAATTTAAGAATGCGCCTCAGTGTGAATACGTGGTTCGCATATCCACATCGAGCACGAAATCCGGCTTGATTGGGCCTCGTCCGAGTGGCACGCACAGCCTGAAATCGCCTAAGAAGGAAAATGGCGAGGATCTTCGCAACAAAGTCGATGAGACTTGGGTCGCGGTAGTTCTCGCATCTTGTTTTATCTCCCTTTTTTAGGATAGTTACAAGGATACCTGAGTCCCGGTCATCAGGAGAAACCTCGTCTCTCCACGCTTGTTGAGTCAACTCATGGAGCCAGGGCGCCAGAGTGTCGACACAAGACTTGTAAATTTCAGCGGGTATACCGTGCTTACCCGGTGCCTTGTTGTTGCGTAGCCTTTGTATGGCATCGGCGACTTCTTCACAAGGGGGTCTCCTGACAATGCATAGGTTGGAGGGGGAGGAGACTCCGCTGCAGGGGAGAACAAGGGCGTGGTGGATTGGGTATCGAAGTTGAAATGGCACTCGAAGTGCTCATGCCAGCGCTTGCTCTTGGACGAGTTGTCAGCAGTAAAGTTGTCCTTCACGTCGCGAACAGAATCACTCAGTGCATAGGGCTTACCACTAACCTGGCGGATAAGTTGGTAGAGTTTTCGAGTGTCACCAAAGTTCGAGGCCTGCTTCGTCGAGGTCGCTATTTCAGCCCAATATTGCTTCCGATCATCCCTGGCCGACTTTTCCGTCATCTTCCGAAGTAGGCGGGAGGAATCATCATTACGGGACTTGGGTCGAGCCGTCTGAGCAGACAAGTGCAGGGTTTTTTCACTGATCCATTCACTGTGGCGTCGTTGGGTTTATCCAAGAATTTTCACGGGTGCTCCATAGACTTATTGACGACCACTGGTTACTGCCTTCTCCGTCGGCTCGGGTGGAAAAACAGGACCGGATTTCTCTGCTCAGAGCCTCGGCAGTGCTGGGTTGCTGGATTTTTGCGACATCGAGGTGTTTGGCACGTGGCATTTTTAACGCGGATGAGAAGTGAACTTTCAAGCGTGTACGAACGAGGACATGATCCGACCCATGAGCGTTACCGGTCTCGGCACCACGCATCGATCTGCTATCATGAACCCAGCTGAGTGACCTTAAGCTGACTAGAATGTAGTCAATCTGACTGATCGTATGACCTTTGTTTGAATACCAGGTCAGCAGATGTTTGTTGCGATGCTGGAAGCACGTGTCAGTGACAAGCAATCTGTTCTGATCAGTGATGTTTGGCAATCTCTCGCCATTGTCATACCGAGAACCAAGCCTAAAGCGACCAATAAGATGACTGTTTGTAGGGTCGCCAAGTGCATTTCGGCCACTCCAGACCCTGGCAATAATCGCCAGATCGCGGCGAGGGGGTCTTTCAACTAACGACTGCAGCTGCGAGTAAAACGCCTAGTTATCGCGATGTTCGGCAGTTGAAGTTGGTGCGTACATACAGACGATAGAACTGTTCGTGAGGTGACCCTTCGGTCGCACGTAGGCCATCCAGTCATTGACTGGTTCCCAAGCAAGTAAAGCGAGGTCCGTCTGTTGCGAGATGACGATCGCCACACCGTGTCTACCAGAAGATTCGCGCGGGCCTCTGTGATACAGAGTGGAGTGTGAGTCGACTCCCGGGATCTTGGTTTCCCGAGAGCCTGAGTCAGGATGTCGGACTTCAGACGGGCAGCAGACATCCACGTTGTACTGATTAGGGCTGCGCGCAGTCAGACTTTAGATACCAGGATCCTGGAAAGTTCGCACATCCCGGCATCCAATACTACGAGTATGTTCTCCTTTAGGTAGTCCAGCTCGCATACTATTCGCCTGCACCACTGTAACAGGGTCGGTTCTCGCGGACGCCGTAGCATGGGTCGTAATATTGTAGTGGAGCATATTTCACGAGGTTTCCTGGAAATTTTGGAAACAGGCGTCTTAAACAGCCGCTCGGATTGTTTTTTCGAGGTTGCCTCCTTTAACACTTTGGCCTAAAAGCTTAACAACACAGCAGCGATGACAAATAAAGTTATTTAATGGCGGTTTACGGTTGCTATGTCACAGTGCCGCCATTGGGCTTTGCGGCTTTTTTGTAAGGCGACCAGCGTGCCAGACCTCAGTCCTCCACACCTTGGTAGTACTGTCCCTGCTTGTCCGCGACTGCTTATTGGTCAGACTTGGGTCTGCTTATTTCGCAGCTAAACTTCGTTGAAGGCCGTTCTACTATCCGCCACCTGTGAACGCACCGGGTAGTCAGCAGCTAGGCTAACGAGCAACTCGTCTTCCCGGGATGTGCTAAGTGGCCATAAATTATGATAATATGCAAAACCTGTTTTCTCGGGTCTCTTGTCTCCTACGCTGACCAAGATGCAGGATGATTACTCGAGGTTTATTTAGACTACAACATATAACCGGCTTGGGGTGAAAGCGTGCAAGTCGTTTTACTAAGTTATCATGTCGATTGATGCTAAAAGTCCTCCGCGAACGCACATGATCCTTATTTGACCAGAATAAACTTTAGACAACCAATTAATACAATTTCCTCAAAGAGAAATCAGGTCTTACGAACTTCCTAATGACGGTAGAAACCCTAATCTAGCGGCTTTGTAATGGCGAGCATGTGTTAACAGATTGTCGGCTGTTTGTGGAAAAAGTACGAAGCTGGGCACTAACTGATAACGTAATTATTTGGACCTTAAATGTGCGCGTTCGGATGAGAAGATCGCGATAACTATATTTCCACAAAGGGTATCCTCAAGAGTCGGTGTATGACTCATTGCTCCTTCGTACTTGCGTCACTGACATGTAACATTTATTTTCAACAAACTGACTCTGATCTGTTAATAATGCAAAATTGGTGGGCGCGGCAACGAATTATACCCCTATTCACGAGGGTCTAGCCAAAGTCGGAGCAAGGGCCGATCGATCAAACACTACATCAGATGATCGAAATGCCAATTGGTCCATATGCAACTGAACTAGACTTGTAAATGCATCTATGCAAAGCTTTTGGGTAGTCCATTTCGGCTTTTCAGTTGGTCGCTATGTTGACATCGTCGGGTCAATTATTACAGGCTGTTATTACGGAAAGAGATAAATTTACAAAACTCGAACAGCAGGGTTTTATGTTCCGTACACCTTTCTTCGTAGCATCAACGACATTGCTAACAAGCGTGGTCCCCACACTTTACTTGTCGTAGTGGAGTTTGGAAAGAAAACCCATTTCCAGCAGTTATAACTCGGCGAAAGGTATACCTGCGGCGGTTCCAGCACTTAAGTGGGAATGACTTAAGACTTGGGGGTTCTAAGTGGAAACCTAGGCTGCTCAGCAAAAACTTAATCTCCTGGGTAAGGTCCCTCTCCGGGTATCTAGATTTTAGCCAGCAGTGGCATACATCCTCCCCCAGTTCTGCGTTTCCATGCCTTTACATTGTGATTTGAGAATCGCTTTTTTGAAAGCCCGTGGTCTGTTGCATAATTTTAGCGGATATCGCTAGCTACTTGCCGTCAACCGTCTTTTGTAGACCGCGACCGAACAATCAACTGCTCATTCTCAGTCCATATCGGTGCAGATCACAGATGTTAGGTTACTTAGTTAGGAAATACGTGTACTCGAATAGTTTCATGTATTATCCGGAAGCGAAAGGCAAATAACAGATATTGCAACCCTTAACCAAATAGGGTTCACTTTTTTAATGGCCTAAAAAGCTATTGTTTATAAAATGGTAGTCTAAGAGATCAAAACTGACTGAGACTAAGAAATACGGATGTGAGACAAACTCGAGATTTAAAAGGTAAAACGTGAGCAATCCCGGACGCCAAAAAACATTCAATCAGGAGGGCGAAAGCATAAAAACTAATGAAGTTTGTCGAGTATGCGATGACTATTTAACGAAACATTCCGCGACAAAGTATAAATAACCGTCCTAGTGAGAACAACAGGCCCGAATATAGGGACGAACGTCACATAGGTGGTTAAGGTTATAATAGAGGTTTCAAACCTGGGGAACACAAACAAGAATGCAGATGGTATATCTAAGGAGGGATTAAAGATCAAAGAATGGTTTCCCAATCTAGAGCGTTAGGTGCATTTATCTTCCTGGTTCTTAACAAGACTTGTATTTCGAATTGGCCCCCGATCTTGGTTTTGGGATGCTTGGAGGTCTAGTTTTTAAGATTGGTTGCAAATTCTACATCCTGATGAAGAGGCTTTGCTGAACGCTTTATTATGAGACTGGATTTAAAGGATAGGGTGTCCTACCTTGCGTGTTCGAAAACTGTTCTTGGGCTTGGTTGGGGCGTCGACATTACCAGTTGTCTCCTCTATTTCTTCCCCTACAGAAGGGGACAAACAATCAACTTTCTTAACACATTTCTGCTTAAAGTAAAAGTATTTGGGGAAAGAAGTCGATTACTTCCGACGGCTTCCCAAAGTATTTCTCTATTTTTTCGTCCAACGATCGCCCACTAAAGAATAGTTAGCAAAGAACTAAACATCTGCGTACTTTCCAAATCCAAAATACCAGATGCCTCCAGCAGCAGCAATACTGAAGCACATGTAACCGATTCCAATAATTTTACGGGGGTATGCATTTTGAAAGTGAGTGTACCGATTGCGGTAAGAAAAGGCGCGCCCCGACACAAGAAGCAAATTGCTGTTTAAAAACTGTAAAAATGCAACTCCCTCGCGACATGTGCGCGTAGCGTAATTCACAAAAAGATCTGCAGACGTAAACGCCCGTCTCATAATGACGGGGTTCTGCTAATGTGGGCTGTAGCGCCCGAGTATGCGGTCGACTTAAAATCGTCTATGTATGGACCTTCCGATATTGGCAGCTCTCGTACTTTTTGAAAGGACACTCCAGGCGCATAGAAATAGAAGTTGGCTTTCATTACACTGACATCTAATTTACAGACGCAGTTGGACTTAGTGGAAATGATAGATTTAGCATGAAGTTTATTGATAAGACATGAACGGACTGATAGGTAAAGTGGGAAGTTTCGAGAAAGCGTTAGCACCCACACGGTTGTACGCTAGCGACCCTCAACCTGTAGATTCGCCCAAATACCTCTCTCGTAGGTCGTTCGACTCTCGCCTCAAATTAATAAGTCTTCGCTCAAATACCGTCAACTCAGACTTCAAAGATAAACAACAACACAAGAGCCGACATTATGTAAAGGGTGTTCAAAGCATCCAAACAAGTGTTTGTCCGAGGTTCCGCGCTTTATAGGCTATAGTCCCGCCAGCTGACTCACACACATACTAAAGGTCAAGTTAACTATTGCATTTTTTCATCGCTGACAGAGGGATTGTCAAACCGCCAGAGGTAAAAACGTGGAAGATGTTCACTAATTACAGCTCCTTCGTTCCTACTGCTTTTACGCAGAAATCCCTCCCGTTATTTAATCTTGGAGAGTCCCCGAAGCGTCCAAATGAAGAAGACAAGGTAAATGAGTTCAGTTCGGCTAGCACGTAAAAACAAGCACTGATGGATTGCGTCGAGACATTCTATGCACCTGTCTAACACCTAAAAATAATGTTACCATTCCATGTTTAGCGCAGAACTTTGTCCAGGATTAAAAACGTATGGTTTAATTAGATACACGAGACGACGAAGCGCACCCAACAGTGCTTACGCAGCAAAGAAAATATCGCGGGACTAGTGCAAAAATAAAATTACTTATGCGATGTACGGGACATCGAGCTACGCAGTTTTTTGAATAACCAAACATTCTGTATCCTCCAAGAAGTTATTTCGGTTGATGTTTATCCATTAAAAAACCAACTCAAGCTGTTGTCAAAGCACGCGAATATATTTTCGTTTAAAATGGGTCTCAATATCTAAAAAAGTGCGCCGTAGCATAAGTTTATCTATCCCACTTTAAAACACCCCACCATGATGTGATATCCTTGTCAGAAGTGATCAGTTGATGAAGAACGCTTCGACAATCTAATAAGTGTCCTGCTTCAAATCACAACGGGCATATTGATAATTAAATTCTGTTCGATTTTCTTCCCATATCTTCTCTTAACCAATCACTACGGCGGAATCCAATCTTCTGACTTCCTTGATAAATAAATAGTTTTATTGAATACCGTTTTGGGAAGTTTCACAGAAAGTTAGCGTGTTTCAAGTAAATTTTCAAATAGGTAGATAGATTCTGTACAGTTTTCATTTCACGGTCCTAGAATCAGCAGTCAGATGTTAAAAAACGGTCAACGAGCAGAGAAAAAACTCCATTAGAAGAAGACGATATGGATATAAATCGGTAAGCTTACAGGGAGAAAATCTACAGCCTATGAAAGGGTAAATATGCGGGCCGAACAGGACTGGCCTGTATATGGTTATGTATAAGAGATTCAAAACGGAAATCGTCAAGGCAGGATTCCTAAAACGGATGAGGCTATCCGCCTCGAAGTGGTAACGCACGAGGAACTTAGATACAATCAGTCACAGTCCGCTTAGAGTCCAGTTGAGGAAGGAATATTAGACTGGAGCGGTCATCAGTGCGTAGAGGGGAGAATGCAACCCTGAGACCTCTTCACTGACCAACCAAACAACTAGTAGATGGCGGAAACAGAGGATGCTGTCGGGATCGTCAACAGACCACTGTCGGTCGAAAGGAGGAGATGACATGAAGAACCGTGAGAATACATTGCGGTTGAGAATTTAAAGTCGCAGGGACCAGGGTCGGCGATTAACGGAAGAGAGGTGGCTTAGAGAGTTCACTTCAACCTTGCGTCCCTTCTCCTTTGGGGGGATTCGTCGGAAGGATATCGTGCTCTGTTTAGGACAGGATGCAACAAATCTAAAAGACCGAAATATCTGACAAGTGGACACGAAAAAAGATAGCGTTTAGATGTGGATGAAACGGAAGGATATATAATCAGGGAAGAGTTGGAAGTTTGGATGGGTGACTACTAGGGGTAAATGCTGAAATTCGAGGAAGATTCGAACTATTTTTAATGCTAAAGAGGAAACAGGAGACTGCTTCTAGTCCTCGAAATCATAAAAAGTGTAGCTTGGTTGGTTGACATCCATCTGTGTAGGCGATATTCAGATGTCCTGTGAATAAAAGTTTTCTTTTAAACCGTCTTTAAACATTTTCAATTTTTAAACGACTTGCCTCGTTAATCAAAACAAGGAATGGATAACAATGCTCGATGACGGGAAGTACAAACAGACGATAGAGTATTAATTTAATTTCATGAAGATAGAAATTGTAAAAAATAAAGCCACCAACCTGGACAGCTTTGGCTGCAATTCTGTCACCGTGTGACGAGAGATCAAGATTATTTGTGCAGCTTAAAACCAAATCCTTGATGGTGGTACATTCAGTGATAGGTGGAACTTAAGAGACCACTGGATGGAGTAGCCTATCAGGTCCAAAACATATGCAGAAATATTTGGATGGAGATAATCCCATTAGCCATTTTGAGCTCCAAGCTCAGAGAGTAAGCAAGTCAACATGGATTTGCTCCAGGCAATGAAGGCTCGTATACTTATTGAATGGATATACACATTTGAGATTATCAGCATAATTAAATGATTGAGAATGTCTAACTACCGTCGAAATATCATTTATGTTAAAGAGGAACAAAAGAGGACCTAAAACGGTACCTTGTAGGGCACCACTTACAACAGAGCTTTCACTGGAAAGTGCAGATCCCACTAAATCCTTTTGTTTACGATAAGACTGGTATGACATGATAAAGTCTATTAGTGGACTGCGAATTCCCAGAGCTTCTAATTTAACTAAGAGTTTTCTATGTGGCACTTTATTAAAGGCTTTACTAAGATGAAAATAGATAACCACCACAAATTGGTGGTCATTACTAAGAGAAGTAAGAAGATTGAGAAACGACAAATGACATGTTTCACAAGAGCGATCTGGTAAAAAACCATGCTGGGAAGGACTTATACCTCGATTGGCTATGCGAAAGTCGGTAATGTTCATGGCGATAATTTTTGCAAGGATTTTTACAAGAGACTGTGTTTTATGGTCAACTGGGTAGTTTTGAAAATCAGAACGGTAGCTAACTTTAAATACTGGAATAAGAACAGAAGTTGTCCAATAGGCAGGAAAGTCAGGTTTGACCTCAAAATATATGCGAGAAAACACGCAAAGGGCTTGCCGTCATTTTTGGAGGGGATAATGTCGCTCCACTTCATAGCATAACCAACTTAGCTGGCCTTAAACAGTTCGTTTATGAAAGAGGACACGACAACTCATTGCATAGTACATCGTAACAGGACGGTCTTTTTGAAAGTTCCGATGCCGAAGGCAGTACGTCATATGCAACCTCAAGTGCTACATCCCGAACGTCGGACTAAAATCCGTCTAAAGTCGGTGTGCCATCATCCGTCGGGAGTACCACAGTGGCAACATATCGTCCTATCGTGGGTGGGGCGATAAACAGCTCGTCTGTAAATCGTAAGCAAAATATCGTAATAAGGGGTACGCCAATGTCCACGCAGTGCAATTCGAAGAAACGGGTGACACATTATCTGAACTTTCTTCATGAATACACCTGTATCGTCCCAAAGGATCGGGAAAAATTCACTGTAAAATGTCTTCCGACTAGGCAAGACAGACACAAGCCGTGATTTGCACACATCTTCAAGACCCCTTAAAGTTTTTTAAGAAAACGAAGCTCAGGACGCCTTTCTGTTAGAAGGAAGAGTGGTCTTACGAGGCTCGCAAAAATAAGTCTTTTTAGCTGGACTACGAACGGAGGGAAAGGCTGAAAATGAGGAAACTGTGAAGAGAATTGAGGGAGAAAATTTGCAGAGGGATTAAAAGCCTGATGACGAGAAATGGCCAAATAATCCAGGACAAGGAGTTTTTCCTGTGGTCAAAACCTGTCACAATGAAGTTCGGGCCTCTCCTGCGAAACAACCACTGAAGGTTATTACCTCAAAAGTACAAACACTCTTCAACAAACTTGACGAACAAAGATACTTAGCTGATGAAAATAAGCTAGATATCATGGCTTTCACCGAAACGTGGCTTTCTGCAGATATCGCAGATTCAGAAATATCACTCAGAGGATATTATCAGTTCAGGAGATATAAACCAAGTCGAGGATGAGGAGTCATAGTTTATGTCACTTGCAAGCTTACCGCCATGGTTGAGGCACATAATCCGGTGCGGGATATAAAAATATTAAGCATTACCATATTTGCTAGGAATGTCCGGCCACTGACGATTTCGATGGTGCACCACTCCCCTAACCGTACTTCTGATCAAGATTTTATTTTCATAACCGTTCTATATAAAGCCGGTTAGGGCTTTTAGGTATTTTAACGCTCCTGTCGTTGATTTGTAAACACCGACTGAGCATGGGCCGTAAGATAGCTTTAGTCACAAACTACTACAATGGACAACGGACAAAATTATATACCAGAACGTTACAATTGGGACGCCGGCTGGGAAAGGATAACAGCCAAACTGTGTGGATCTTATTTTTGCCGAGAGGAAGAAAGCGTGTAAGACCAGCATGACCGACCGCCATTAAGGTCAAGCGACCACATCACGCGGTAAATCGAGTATTTA